GTGTCAAAGGCAGCACTTAGATCTAACAAGATTAAGATTGAGACTTTGCCTGCGTCAGTGTTCAGCCGGATATCGTTTGTAACCTTAACGAGAGCAGTCTCAGTGCTGTGGTGTGGTCTAAAGCCGGACTGAAACATATCAAATGAGTTGTTGATTATAAGAAATCTAGTAAGCTGTAGGTAGACAACTTTCTCAAGGACTTTCCCCATAAATGGCAGATTTGAGATGGGACGATAGTTGTTAAGTACCGTAGCATCCAGACTGCTCTTTTTTAGCAGGGGCCTGATGACTGCAGTTTTCAGGGCCTTTGGGAATATTCCAGAATGAAGGGACATGTTTACTATCTGTGTGAGTGAAGGTAACAGACTGCTCAGAACAGACTTCCGAAATCTAGTGGGTAGTACATCCAGGCTGCATGTGGAGGAGCTCAAACTGGAGATTATCTCTTGGACAGTTTTATCATTTACAGGTGCAAAGTGAGTTAGCTCAGAGAGCCTTTCTGGCTGTTGGATGGTTATCTGTGGATTGGAGACAATGGCGTTTTTGATGCCTTGAACCTTGTCATTGGAAAAATTAGCAAACTCATTGCATTTACGTTTGGAAGTAAGCTCTAATGGCATTTGAACAGGGGGGTTTGTTAATCTATTAACTGTTGAGAACAGAACACGCAGATTGTTGCTGCAGCCTTCAATCATTTCAGAAAAATACCTTTCTCTCGTACTACGTAGCACCCGGTTAAACTCGCACAACTTATCTTTGAAGATCTCGTAATCAACCTGGAGGTTGGACTTGCGCCACTTCCGCTCGGCCCTCCGGCACTTTCTCTTTTGTGCCCGGACCGAGTCTGCTTTAGCCCACGGCGCCTTCTGCTTATTTTTCACTATTTTAACCTTCACAGGGGCAACGGTATCCAGAACATTCAAAACACTAGAGATGACAGAGTTAAACAGTTCATCTACAGTAGAATACGATACATTCTCAATGTTTATCATTCCCATAAATAGTTCACTCGTATTTTCATTTATGCGCCTTCTTCGAACAGTTGCAGAGTCCACTGGTGGTTTGTTAGTGAAACACATGTCAAAAAAAAACACAGAAATGATCCGAAAGAACAACATTGACCACGTTTACATTTGAAATATTCACCCCCTTTGTAACTAACAGGTCTAGAGTGTGCCCTCTGCTGTGGGTGGGGCCACTTACATGCTGAGTGAGATCAAAGGATTCAAGTACAGAACTCAGCTCATTTGCATTTCTGTCATCAACATTATCCACATGAATATTAAAATCACCTGTAATAACCAAACTATCAAAATCTGTGCATACAACTGAAAGCAACTCGGTAAAATTATCAATAAAACTGACATGACTGCGGTGGCTTGTATAGGACAACGAAGAGTATTGGAGGAGATTGTTTTTGTTGTATTTTAAAAGACACATATTCAAATGACGAAAACTTCCCAAGAGACATTCTATGGGAGACAAAGTGGTCTCTAAAAATGGCAGCTAAGCCTCCTCCTTTTTTGTTTTCCCATATTTCAGATTCAAACTTGAAATTTGGTGGTGATGCTTCTATTAAAACTGCATTTCCTGAATTTTGGTCAAGCCAAGTTTCAGCCGTGAACAGAAGATCAAGATTATGAGAACAAATAAAATTATTGATTAAAAAAGACTTGTTACAAAGAGATCTGACATTAAGCGTAGCAAGTTTCAAAGTTTCAGTATCAGCGGTTGCGGTCGGCGGATTCTTATACGGAACAAGAATCAGATTTTCCAGATTAGACTGATTAACTCCAGATGTTTTTCTGTAATGTATTCTTTGTGTTATCACTAAGGGAATGGCACAGGTGGCTTCATGACAGGGCCCCAGCCGGGTCTCTCCTCTAACCAGACTGCCAGTGGCTGCGAAGCAGAGACCCTGTGCATCCTAGTGTTTAGAGAAAAGAGGGGAAGGGGAAGGCAGGGGAGGAGGATGGAGAGGTGGGTGGCTTTTGGGTGTTGAACGAGGGGGGCAGGGAGGTGGAGGGGTTTTAGGTGATGGGTTAGGGCCGGGGTGGGCTGAGGCAGAGGTTTTGGATGTTGAACGAGGGGGAAGTGGGGGTGGAATGGTCATGAGGTTAGGGGAGGGACTGTCTGAGGTGGTTTTTGTAGGTGAATTGGAAACCCTAGGTGGTTTTGGAGGTACATATGGGGAGTGGTTTAGAATGTTGGACAGGACTCTAGATCTAGCTAATATGGGTGTGAGAGGAATAGTCTTCATGGCCGATTTTATTAGCCCTGCAGAGTGTTCAGGTAGGTCTAACAGTGAAGGCGGGGATGAAAAACAAAGGGAGGTGTCCCCATTCTCTCTTGATGGAGTGGACGTGGCAGGGGGAACCCAAGACAGGTCCATGGGAGGTGGCGAGAGAGTCTTTGATGGAGGGGCAGGTGGTTGAGGAAACCCCAGCACAGGCCTGTCTGCTGTAGGCTGGGGTGAGGATGGGGGCTTCAGAGGCGCTGTAGATGAAGAAGGCGTGGCTGCTTTGGAGCAGGCTGGGGATGAGGATGTTGGTGGTGGTGGTCGTGCAGCTGGTGCTGCTACTGGTGATGATGCAGCTGCTGCTGGTGATGATGCAGCTGCTTCTGATGACAGTGGAGGTGTTGAGATCCTTTGAGGTGGTGGTGGTGTTGAGATCCTTCGAGCTGGTGGTGGTGTTGAGATCCTTCGAGGTGGTGGTGGTGTTGAGATCCTTCGAGGTGGTGGAGGTGCAGAGACTTTTGGAGTTGGCTTCCTCCCTTTCGATGGGTGCACGCGCTGCGCAGGCTGAGGTCTCAGGGCAAAAGAAAGGTTATCAATCAACACTTTTACTCCATAAGTGTTCAGATGTGGCCCTTTCCCTTCAAAAAGCTCATGCCTATTCCAGAACAGATTAAAATTCTCAATGAAGGCAAGTCCTTTGCGTGAACATTCGTTGAGTAGGAAAGTATTTAGCTGATACAGACGACTGAATTTCATTTGCTTCCCGTCCACATTTGGTAGTGGGCCACTGATAACGATTGTTGTGTCCATTTTAGCAAGGTCGTCCAATAAGAGAGAGTAATCCCATTTCAACTTTTCACTTGTGTTGTCATAGACGTCTACTGCCCCCACGTGGATCAACAATCTTTTTACCCCGCCGGTCTCAGACAGAAGCCTCGGAGCCAACCGCCTTATCTCATGCACTTTAGCAGAGTGTACTGAGTGAACCTTGAGATTACGCATATTTACATTTCTTATCGCCGAATCCCCGATAAAGAGCGACTCAGCTGCATTTGACCTTGACTGAGACTGAGACTGGGACTGAGAGGCTACTGCTGATTCATCTTCCAAAAGTGGTGAAAAGCGGTTTCTTGTAATTAAAGATTTTTGCTGTGGCATTATGACACTCTTGTTATCATTAGCTTTGCCTTGTTTGGGCTTGGCACCATATGTGTTCCAACAATGGTCTCTGTTGATTTTGGGAAATGAAATAGCGTCATCATAACTTACATTCCGTCCATTTGGTCCATTTCCTTTCACTGGTATTGTTGTGTTCAGCCCCAATTCTGATTCAAGCACAAACATTCGGTCTTGAAGAAGTTTTAGCTCCTGTTTGAGTGAAAAACAGCCGTCGCAAAGTTTTGTTCTTTTTTCCCGTCCTCCCGACATGCTGTAAGTTAGGTAAATTCCACAAGTCTTGTGTTGAAGTTTGTAAAAAGGAGTAATCCGTGTTTTGTGGAATAAAAATGTAAGCAAAAATGATTAAAGGAGATAAAAAAGCAGGAAGCGAGGAGCAGCAAGAGAATGCGACTGCTCTGTCCAGAGCAGGAAGTTGTAGGTACTGTTTTATTGTGTTGTTTTGGGTGGAGCTTGAAAAAATGTGCCAAAGCATTGGTTTGTCCATGAAGCCTGAAGTTGTCTCTGTTATGCTAGGAGAGTTTATAGATGGTCAGGATTTGATTAATTTAATTATTGTGCTTGGTAAAAGATATATTTTTAAGGCCAAAAATCGATATTCACTCAATATGGACGAATTGAAAACGTTTATTCAGCTTTTTTTAACTTTAGAAAGTTATATGATCGAAACTGATGCTGAAGCGAAAAAACATACAAATCGATGGGAGGTTCTGTAAAGATTATTTTGAAATGTTACTCTGATTCATGTTTATTGTACGTAAATTAAGGTGTGTGGAAACCACCTGGACTCGACCTGGTTTAGGAATTTATTTTACCATCAAAATCCCTTTACAATGGACAGTGTCCATCTTTAATTTTATTGTATTTTCTTCAATGTAAATTCATGTAATCATAATAATTATAATTAATGAGTCTGGGGGAAAAAAATTAGCAGATAAAAGGTATGATAATAGTGACAAACAGCCACACAACCAGATGGTGGTTATTGTTTTACCAGAGATACTGGTTTAAGGCAGTGTTTTTTTTGGGGCCCTTGAAAGCAGCACCTTTTTCTTAAACAGAACAATTAAAACAGACTGACAAAACCTTTCAAAATACAGTTTGAATGAGTGAGTGAGTGTGAAGGGGGGATGAGGGAGGGTGGGGTGGCACACTAGTTATGTAAGTGTATCTTGTATTTTTATGTTAAACTGATTCTTTTCTGACAGTAAAAAAAAACATTCCCAAGTTATGTTTGGGCTATGCCGATAGTTTGTGTAATTTAATAACGTGCAAGATGTCAAACTCAAGAGTCTCCCACAAATGTGTGGAAATTTATAGCACCTAATTTAATCACCTAATCAGTGCGCAACGGCAATTGGTTCATGCATGTCCACCCCGGCTATAAATTGAGGCATGAGTTCACCAAACCACCCTCGACAATGGCAGATCTAGTGCTCCTAGAAGATGCTCAAGCTGCATTGAGAAGAGAGAGAGCATTTTTTATGAGATTGCTGGCCTCCCTAACGTCATTGGGGCAGTGGACTGCACGCGTGTGCGTCTGAAACCACCGTGGGTTAATGATTATGCATATGTGAATGTGCAGCTAATTTGTGATGCCCGACTGCGGGTCCTTAATATGGTCGCCCGGGGGCCAGGGAGCACCCACGATGCCTTCATTTTCCAGCACAGCAGTGAGGGCCGAAGACTGGAGGAGAGAGCCCCAAGAGGAGATGGTTATCTTCTCGGTGAGTTAAAGCGAATGCATTGTGTAACATACCAATGAATAACTGCATATCATGCTATCCATTATTGGAATATCTAATAACTCCCCTAGCCGATGCGCAAACACCGCAGGAGCAGCGCTTCAACCAAGCGCACTCAAAGACGCGTGCCACTGTGGAGCACTGCGCAGGTCTTCTCAAGGGAAGATGGCTCCGCCTGGGACAAGCCGGGGGTACGCTCCTGTACTCCCCGGAAAAAGTGTGCCATATGGTCCTGGCCTGCTCGGTCCTCCACAATATGGCCCAGGACCACGGTGTGCCATTTGATGCACTGGGGCCTCAAGTGGCCCATGGATGACGAACCATGGCCAGCACCGCCTGCACTTCGGCGTGTAGAGCCTCTCATTCAACAATGCTAAAGTAATGATCACACAAACCATTTGACATTTTGTATTTCTTTGAATTCTCGTTGATTTGACAAAGTGTTTGGTTAACTAATAGCAGGTTTTTGTTGATTTCTACCAGCTGGCTCCAAATCTCTGTCTGCCTGTCCAGAACCTCCTCTGTCAGTACCGAGGCCCGTCGTAGAGCTGGGGACGTGCAGGGTTGGGAAGCAGCGGCTCGGGGATTCTGTGCCGCGGGCACATCTCCTGTCTCTTCGTTTGGTCCAGCCTGCAGTGCGCTGCCACTTGTTCCTGGCACTTCTACAATAAATATAAACGACATAAGAATAAGGATGTCTGTGCTTTCATTTGGACGGATTTAGCTAGAATTTAATTACTTACCTAGAACAGTCTCCTCGATCAGGTCGGTGTCCCCTTCATCCCCCAAGACACCGACGATAGAGGCCCCACCGATGAGCGCAGCTACCCGCTCTGCAGTTGCAGACAAGAGCGGTCCTCCCCCTGTCTGCTGAGCACTTCGCTTTTGGGCTGCTTAACGCCTTTTTGTGATTATTTTTAAGTCACTCAATTTTTTTTTCACCTGTAGGCATAAATAATAAATGCTAACTATTGGCCCATTAATTGTTGTCAACTATTTGACATGGTATATTTCTTCAGCAGACATGAATGAACTCACCTCCTCAGGAGTGCGTGGCACAGGCCCCACGCTGTTTACGGAGGTTGTAATAGCCTTCCATATTTTATTTTTTTGAGCCCCCTTTATCCCACTTTTGAGGCTTCCAAACAATATTTGTTTTTTTTCCACTTCATTCATAATTCATCATTGATCTCCTGCTCCGTGAAGTTCTTCTTCTTCGTCGTCTTCCTTGTCTTCTTTAACACCATAAGCGTGACTTTCTTAATTACGTTTGTTTTCAGCCGGGGCAGGTGCGTACGCTCTTATATGGGCGGACCTCACACATTCATATATCCTGCGTTGAATTTTGTGTATTTGGAATCTGCACCAAAAATGTACACCCTTTTCTGTGCAAGTTTCATACATGAGGGCCAATAACTACTCAGAGCAATACCAGTATACAAAATAAATAAATTGTGTGGTAGTATTTGCTTGAATCGAGTGGTTTTGATCTAAATTTGAGTTCATTTTGATTGTAAATATTTTACAACGGGACAGTGTCATTTAGGCCTAATTATAAACAATATTCTCATTCCAAGGGAGACATTTCTTGTATCGTTTTAAATATTAAATATATTTTTTTGTCTCATTGGATTTGAAGTTGATAGCACTTTTGCGTCTCAGAAAGAAGGACCTGGGTTTGAATCTCTGTCGGAAGGGGCCTTTCTGTGTAGCGTTTGCATGATCTTATGTCTGAGTAGCTTTTCCATACCACTAACTATGTTTGCAATAGCAGGCATGCCTCCTATAGGCGACCTCGCTCCCAGCTCTGTGTGGAGTGAGAGATAAATGCCCACAACAATTGTAAAGCGCTTTGTCACTCTGGCCTTTTTGCAATGTAGAATAAACTAAAAAAAAGATTATTCTCAAGCTACTTTTCTCCTGTACCTCTTTATCCTGTCGTTCCACTTAATGATTATTCTTAAAACATGTTGAATCAGACAAAGGCAGAGTCTCTGAAGCGCTCACATAAAGACTCTTAAAACTCAATCATTTACTACAGAAAGCAGTAAAGCCGCAGAGCTTTAGGTGCTGTATAAGCACAATATCGTTAAAGTCTCATCAAAAAGTTGTTTTAATTCCATCCACGCTGACACCAGGAACTTCTGGCACAACACAAACACATCCTGGAATAGTGCTGGACTGATCCTGGACTGGGTCTGTTTTGGGTCTGGACTGGTCCTGGACTAGCCTGGTCGTACCACACCATAGTACAAATTACATTTCGTACTAAGGTCTGGCGGTGCTCCATTGAGCTCCGTGAACAGGTGGGAGGGGTTAACTCCTTTTGCAGATTTAACTGATTGGATCTGAGTTTACCGTAATGTATGCAGTGCGCATGTAGCATTTAGCCTAGCCATCTCTTTTGCCGCTAACGGAGCCCGTGGGGAGTAGCGCCACAATTTTTTCTAGCGATTACATTTGCTAAACATTCCTATTGCTCCGGCTTCAATTTCGCCATTGCCAAACTACGACCTTGCCGTTCGACGCAAACTCTTGACATCACCCACAACTAACTACAAAACTCTCCTTCCGCGCTCGCTGGTAGGTCGGTCGAAATTCAAAGGATCGTTTTAAGCGCCACCGGGCGCTTAAAACGGACAATGAGGGTGAAAGGAAGTGGCTCCACTGCCTCCAACATCCATCCGTCTGACGTGCGTCGGACGCATTCCGTCAACGGGGGGTGCAACGGACGCGGACGGACGAAATAGAAACAATCCTATTTGTTCCGTCCGTCGACGCGTGTCGGGTCCGTTTTCCATTGAAAATACAATGGAATAATATAATTGTATATAATATATATATACAATTTTTTCTAGCGATTACATTTGCTAAACATTCCTATTGCTCCGGCTTCAATTTCGCCATTGCCAAACTACGACCTTGCCGTTCGACGCAAACTCTTGACATCACCCACAACTAACTACAAAACTCTCCTTCCGCGCTCGCTGGTAGGTCGGTCGAAATTCAAAGGATCGTTTTAAGCGCCACCGGGCGCCACCGGGCGCTTAAAACGGACAATGAGGGTGAAAGGAAGTGGCTCCACTGCCTCCAACATCCATCCGTCTGACGTGCGTCGGACGCATTCCGTCAACGGGGGGTGCAACGAACGCGGACGGACGAAATAGAAACAATCCTATTTGTTCCGTCCGTCGACGCGTGTCGGGTCCGTTTTCCATTGAAAATACAATGGAATAATATATTTGCCACATTATTAAACACGTATTGATATATGCTGTAGTCCTTGGTTATAAGTATTTGTTAATGACAATGATTATTAACAAACGTGTGTAATTTTTTTTATGTATTAAATTGAAATAATTGTTTCCTGATCGTACATCTACCATTTATTTTTTGCGTAATGTTAATACGCTAAACTTTACATACACCTCGCTCTTTTTCCTCTCGTTCTGTCCCGTCTACCTGCGAGGCGCTCTCTCCTCACCGCCGCGCGCTCCCATCCACACACGCACGCACACACACACACAGCCCACAGAGCTGCACTTATGAGAAACAAATCTCACAACACTGGAGTTGTTGGAGTTCTTTTCTCTTTTCTCACTCCCCTTTTTCCAATTGCTTTCAATAAGTTTTGCCTCATCCATCGCGACGTCCTCGATGCTTCGATATGCAGTGCTTTGCATAGATCATAGCCACAGCTCATGCACATCACACACCGCTTCTTCTATTTAAAACAATTCCTCACGGGTGCTGATAAACGCACAGCGTGCTGCTGCAGCCGGTTTGGCCGCTATTCCGTTTTACGGACGTCTGACGGGCAGCAGCCAACGCGCGTCAACGGAGACGCGCCCGGTGGAGTCCAGGCCTAATCGCTAACCCAGGGACCAGACCCAGACGTTACATGCAGTGAAATGATGATTGAGCGGAGTGTACGGATGGCTAATGCCAGGCTAGTCCTGGACTGGTAAGAGTAGAAAAGAGCGAATTTGCTTTTCCTCCGGAGAACTGACCATAGTTACCATAGCAACATATTGTTCCCTTGCAACAATTAGCATTTGGTCACCTTTCATTATTTTTTTTTTGTATTTCAGCTATTTTCACCACTTTTAGCTTTTATTAAAAGTGACTATATGTAGTGGTACGCCAATACCCACTGGCGGCCAATCACGCTTCGGCAGAGCCTTGATTACGTGAACTAGTTTCACCCGTCACGTCTCTCTCCTCACCTCTGGCGTCCGCATGCAGCGTAGTGGTACTCGAAGCAGAGCCAAAATCGTAAAATCATCGCTTTATTAGCCGTAAGCCTGTGGCTTAAATGCTGGTTGGCGATCTTCTTGGTGAGTACTATCCACGCTCCATAAGTTCTGCGCATCAATTCTAACCCGCCGCTCTCACAGGCTTCTTGTGCTGGCGTGCGGGCCGTCCTTACTGCTTGGCATTTGAGTAAATTGCCCTTGCGGTGAGTATTATTAGCGCTTTCATTTATTAAATTGTTCACATTGCTTACTAAAGTCACCGCTCTCGTAGGTTAGCGCGCAGGCTGACTCCAACTTGTCCCCAGATTTAGAGGGCCTCCTCGGTGAGTAGTCGGACGCTCTCATTCATAAATTGTTCCTTCAGTGAGCCTAATTCAGCTTCGTTTTTAGGCAGCTGTGCGGGCTTTTGGCTGCAATTATTCAGTAATGCGCCTTGCCTGGGTACAGGGCACCTTCCCGCTGCACTCTAAAACTGAGATCTTGGTATGTACAGTCCTACAGTTCATGTAGCCTAGCTGTTTCTGTCTTTCTCTCCCTCTCTCTCTCGCGCTCTCTCGCTCTTGCTTTCTCTCTCTCTCGCTCCCTCTCGCTCTCTCTTACTCTCGCTTTCTCTCTCTCTCTCTCGCTCTCTCTCTCGCTTTTATATAGTTGTAATAAACCAAATTCTCGCCAGCATAGATCCGACAAGCCTCCCCTTCAGAGCGGCCCTCCTTCAGAGCCTCTCCTTGGGGCCTCCACCTGTTTGTGACCACCTCTGGGCCACACTCACCTGGCGTTGTGGGCCGTCGTCTCCCTGGCCCTTAGACCTACGGCTAACCAGAGTTTGGTCACCTTTGGCACTCGGACTGGCGCGCTCCCTAGCGGACTGGTAATGTTGTCCTTCTCCGGCCACTAGGAAGCTTAGTGAAGGCAGAGGTGTTACCAACTGCTGCTTTATCCCTGGGGTTACTGTCGCTATTTTGGGTTGTGACCGATTAGTTTTTGGGCTCTAACTTATTTTAATGTCTGCGATAAAGTGAAGGTGTTTTTATGACTCGTTTAAATAAATTGTGAAAAAAAAGAAATTATATTATTTTATAAAGCTGTCTCTTGTGCCCTTCAGTCCAACAAACCTGTGTTGCCTTACTGCGGGGGTTATTTGGTGTCACTGCTTAAAACACGTGGTTACTATTGGCCCTGGAGCCGTCTCTCCAGGTAGCGTTGCTGTTAATTTGGCTATTATCACAAATATTAATTATATTCTGTTGTACCCTACCTACCATATTAGCACATACAGGACAAATACTGAAAGGCCTCGTCCATAAGTGTTTAGCCTGTAAGATGAACAAATATCATCTGCAAAGAATCAATGATAAAAGGAATACCTAGTTAGAAGGAAGTCTTTATGTTGAACACATGGCTACACACATCAGGCTCCAACAACGCAGGGGATCTGTGTCCTTATCATTTACAGAAGCACCTTATTTTCAAAATTCCAATATTTACACCCTTTTCTGCACAAGTTTCATAAAGGAGGCTCAATGAAGTAGTCGTGTTCTGGGAGTCCTGGAGTTAACGAACCAAGCTGAAGATATGTCTGAGCTCAAAATGAAAAGAGTTGTGCGACGGCTTCAGAGGCACAAAAAGCAGCAATTTAGAAATAAACTAGACCTGTTGAATGTTAATGTTACATGCAGTGATTTTGCACAAATCTGAGGAGCAGAAGTTTGTAGCAACAAATCACTTCTGCCTTAATTGAATCAGACCTTTCCTCTCCAGCCGAGATGCATTTTATACACAAAAATAAATGAGATTAAAGTTCCAATGATAAATCCCAGAGCCCCAAACCAGACCATAATCAAAGTCACACCATTCAATCCCCCTCCAGGGAAATTATTCTTCCAGGGCCTGGTGGGAGTCCTGCTTTATACGTGAGTTCATCTAAATGTTGTTTCGCCTGAATCTGTCTACAGTTTATATTTACATTATGTCTAGTTTTTCATTTAGAATGCAAACAAGCATAATAACTCCTCAGCTAAGTTAAAAGTGATATTTGAATGGAACAGTTTGTATTAATGAACAAAAGGAGATGTAAATACACCAGATTTGTTTGTTACCAATTTTCCTTTAGTCCCACTCAACCCTCAAATAATGTACTTTTTTAGTTGAAGGGGAAACCAGGACACCGAGAGGATACTACAGGCACAGGGAGAGTATGCAAACTCCACACAAAAAGAGTTTGCATGCTGGAGAGGGAATCAAAGCATTTTGTTGCACAGTGCTAACCACTGCACCACCATGCTGCCCTGTGCAGACACACATCTTTTCACTGTGAAAACAGACTTAAATCATCCATAATTGTATACAGAAGTGTACTCTGCAGACTTCTACCCTGCTCACTGATCACATGTCTTCTGAAGCTCTCTGGACTCCTATGAGCCTTTGGTCTCTCTGGGATTGTCTGCAGATGGTCCGGCAGTTACATTTATTAATCGTGAGGAGATAGATCTTTCTCCAGTTCTTAAGAAGAGCTCAAAGAGCCTTTCAACATTCCCCAGTGCCACACTTCTCCATGTGGCGGTTTCGTCCGTCACCTAAATCATGTGGGGCTGGATCCTAGTCTATAACCCCTCTTCACACAAATAATTGAGTTTTATTTGAGTAAGTAAGTAAGTAAGTAATCTTTATTTATATACCGCCTTTTCACTGCAGATCAGAGTCTCAAAGCGGTTTACAATTGTTAATTATGGGCATTTATCTCTCACTCCACACAGAGATGGGAGCGGGGTCGCCGGTACAGGAGGCGCATGCTAGAACTATTGGACATATTTTTAGTGGTAGGGGAAACCGGAGTACCCGGAGGAAACCTACGCAGACACGGGGAGAACATGCAAACTCCACTCAGAAAGGCCCTGGTCCGACCGGGATTCGAACCCAGGACCTTCTTGCTGAGAGGCAAGAGTGCTATCCACTCAGCCACCGTGCCGAAAACTTTATTTTTCTTTCCATTTATCCTTCATATAGCTAAACAGATCTCACCACAGGTAGTCCAATTCATGAATGATGGGTAAAAACTTGACCAGTCCATGATTCCTATCTGTAGTCGACTGCACAGACCATAGTTTTGATGACTTAGTACTAAAGATTACCTGTGCCAAATGTGGTGATAACATACAGGACTGTCGCCATGGGGGTGCGAGGCCCTGCCCTGACACTTTTTTCCCCAGATCTGAGGAAAGTTTTCCCTGTTATAATCTGACATGAATAGCGTGAAGAGATCAGCAGGCGCGCAGCCGCTGTCCTCGCTCCAATGCACGCACACACAGTTAAGGCGCTTGGCATTGCGATATTGGTTGCGGTCATTTTAGCTGACATGGCTCTTTCGTCCTGTGGCAAAATGGCAGCAACTCAAAAGATAGAAGAAGAAGACTCCTTTTGGTTCAAATAGTTAGATTACGGCAAAATGCGCCAAAATGGCTTTGAGGCGGAGTCAATAGTTTTTTTCTCATCAAAAAACGTTTTTGCCATGCCTCCACACTCTGACAACAGCATACGCTCCTTCTCCTCCTCCTCCACACACTCTGACCACAACAGGGCGTTTTATGCCCAAAATTCACTGCAGTCACAAGGGGCTCTGAAGCTGGACATACACTGTTTACTAATGCTTTTATGTTTTTGATGTGGATATTTAGACTAAACATTGGCAATAACAGAGCTCATACACTGTAAACCCAAATATCAGCCTTACCTAAAATGATTGATCATATTTAACTTGATTTTTCTCCAAGTTCACTGTTCACCCACACACAATTGGTAACCTTTACAATTCATGTCAAAATCAAACTTTTAAATGACATAGTTGAGTTTCATTTCATAAGTGTTGGTGTGTATCGTCTGTGGTATTTCTGTGTCAGACAATACTAGAAAGGTGTCTGTAAAGTCAATACTTTACTTAAATTAATAAACAAATAGATGCAGGTATTACTTGAGTAAGCTTTTACGACATGCGCAGTTCAGTTTTTCACCTCATGGCTAGGGTAACTTCCTGCCTGGCGCCATCTTATGCACCGCGCACATGCAACAGAGCACTTGGGTGTGGGGTCGTAATCTCCTTTGCAGGTAAGTAAGTATTCGTTTTTTTGTTTTAATCAATTACTTTCACTCTTCAGGTGATATGCATTTGTTGAATTGTGTTAAGTGCTGTTGTAAAGTAAGACTAGTGGAGAAAATGCGTGTAGTTCGCCGTGTAATATGAGTTTGAAAAGCATTTTTAAGTATGGCCAAATGCACCTCCACTGCTGTGGTCTCCGGTGATACAGGGGCTTTGCTCCCCGCAGCACCGCTGACTGCAAGGAGCTCGGGGTTGTTGGTTTGCGCAGGCTTGTGGGAACGCAGGAGCCACCAGCGTTCCCACAAGGCCGCGCAAACCTCCAGCGCAGGCTCTGGTGAGGCTGGCGCCACCTCCGATGCTACGAGGAGCGTGGCCCAAACATCACCGGGGACCTCAGCGGACATGTGCGCGGGCCCATAGTAATATCCTCCGCTGCAGTCAGCGGTGCTGCGGGGGCCACGCTCTTCGTAGCGCGGGAGTGGGAGGATCCATTGTGAGGTGCGTGGCTCCCGCATCACAGTAGACATTCAGGGGAGGTGTGCGCGGGCCCATAGTAACATAACAGACAAACGTTTGCATGCAGACATCTTGTTTAACAATATAATTATAATGTTTTTACTCATCCGTTGTCTATAGTTGTGTTTTTCAACCAGTGTGCCGGGGAATGTTATTCAATGTACCTTTGCACTTCTGATTTTCCATATCATACACTGAGAATTACTTTGTTTTGTTAATAAAGGGTGCAGAGTAACAGTTTGCATCAGCTTCAGCTGGTGGTGTGCCATGAGATAGTTTTAAATTAGTTTTTAAATGATAGTTTCAAAAAGGTTGGAACACTGGTGTACACTTAGTCACTTATTTGGATTGATTAATAATCATGTATGTGTATAGTTTGAAGCAAACCATTTTGACTAACCTTTTTTTCTTTTTTCATAGGCACACTGACTGGCATTCTGATGCAGTGGCCCTGTAAGTGTTGCAATTTTGTGGCTCAAAAAAGAGGTTACTTACTAAAGCATTTCCGTTTAAAACATGGGACCTTCACTTGATTGCCACAAATACCATGTCTCCATACTGCATGTCCTTGTACATTTAAAACCTTCAATGCACTCAAACTGCATCTATCTAGATGTCACCAAGAAAAAAAGAAAATTAGTATTTGTGTGTTTCACTGCCAGTTGTGTGACTTTGGTGAACCTTGTTCTGAAAAAGACTTTTTTACTCATTTGCGTGGACATATAAAGTTGAAACAGAAAGTAGTGTGTCCATATCAAGGATGTGCTTTTGAGAGTAATGTTTCTTCAACTTTTAACTGTCACAGAAGCCGACTGCATCCCCTGCAAAGTAAACCTTCATTTAAGCCTGAAATAGTGTCTGAAGAAAAAATCCTTGAAGAACAATCCTCAGATTCACCTGATCTCTTCAATTCTGAGGCTGAATTAAGTGAGACTGTGACGGGGCCACACAGCTTGTCCTAGTACTGAGAGCACCGCACTGGGACGTGCGCTCTTTTTCTCTGGAGCGTCCGTGTTATGCACGTACTACAGCAGCGTTTACACATTACCCACGGCTAGTTCTCTGTCTGGGGGGAAGTGTGAGTGCGTTTGGTGAGATCTCGGGTGCACACTAGGTCTCACCGTCGTGCTACTCACCGTTCGCGTGTGCGCGCACGTGCGTGCGCTCCTCGGGACTGCGCGCGCGTGTGTCCCGTGGGTTGGCCAAACAGAGGCAGAGACGCACACACACATTATAAGTGTTGAGGAGCGTCATGTGATCCTTATTTTGTGTTTTTGTTTCTTATGACTGTAAAGGGGGATTATTCAGTGTGGGGATTATCCTATTCTTTACTGTGTAGTGGGGGACTATTTCTATAGTATTGTTTTGGGGGTAAATGGACTTTAAAGTCAGTGAATGTATTTTGTGTTTGTCAAACGCCCAGGGGAGGGGCTTGTGCTTTAAGAGCAGGACCGGTCTGGCCTGCTCGAGTTTAGTGATGCTGGGTTGCAGAGAAGGCAACACCTGAGAACCTGAGATGAGCATGCGCCTACAACTTGTAAATATTGCACTGTATTGCACTGGGATAATAATGGGAAATAATAAATCACTGTGAAAAGTGTTTTTGACTGAGCCATTGTGTTTTTGGGAAAAGACCCCACAACATATGGTGTCAGAAGTGGGATGGCCAGTCAGAAGAAGCATTCTTATTTTCCGCGCAAACGCACCGGACTCAGGTCACAGAAGACTGAGAGTTTGTCTTTGGGGGCCACCGGGGGAATAGAGCGAGATGAAGATGCCTGGGCGACGGAGGACGAAGAGGAGCCCTCCTCCCGTGGCCAACCTCCATCCGATGGATCAGGAGGGGAGCTATTGGCACTGATGCGGGGCTTCCTGGAGGGACAGCAGAGGAGGGAAGAAGGTCTGCTCGCTGAGCTCAGAGAACTCCGAGCATCAGGGCCACAGCGGGCTGGTTCCCCAGATGGAGATCGCTCATCCGCTTGGAGTCCACGAATCGACCTGCCCACTCCTGCACCTCGGCAGCGTGGCCAAAACTCCATGAGAGAGAGAAGCGGGGTACTGGAACAACCGAGACCAGAGGTCAGATCGTACAGTGACCCCAAAATTCCACTGTATCAGGTTGGAGAGGACATTGAGAACTATCTCCTGCGCTTTGAACGCATTGCAAAGACATGGGCGTGGCCAGAGAACGAGTGGGCTTGCCGCCTGGTTCCCCTGCTTACCGGCAAAGCATTAGAGGCGTATACAGCAATGGATGAGGAGCAAGCTCATTGCTATCCAGAGCTCAAAGCGGCACTGCTGGAAAAATTTGACATTTCCCCAGAGACATATCGTCAGCAGTTTAGGTCAACCGTTGTCCCTCCGAATGAAAACCCAACTGAAACGTATCACCGTCTGAAGTCCCTTTATCGACGCTGGATCCATCCGGGGCTACACACCAAGGAGGATATAGGAGAGGCTATCATCCTGGAGCAGCTACTTCGTGTTCTTCCGGGAGAGGTGAGAACGTGGGTGAAGGAACATGAACCAAAGAATGGGCTGGCAGCTTCCAAGCTGGCTCTCCAATACTTCAATGCTCGGAAGGGGAGCATGACGTCGTACTCCAGCAGCTCTGCTCGTCGACCAGCACCGCCGCCCAGATTGGTGAGACCAGAGGCCAGCCATGATACTCCTCCAGGTAACTCCGGACACCCCTCAAGTCGACCAGGATACGGTAAGGAGCTTATCTGCTTTTACTGTCAACAATCAGGACACAAGGCCTCACTCTGCCCTATCCGTAAAACAAAGCTCTCTGGTGCATGTTACGCGCCACGGCCTGAAAGAGACAGACAGACTGTGACTTTGAGACGGCATAAGCCTCTGGTAGTAAATGGACAAAGAGTGAATGCTTTGTTGGACAGTGGCAGCTTCATGTCTCTTGTAAGGCAGGATCTTGTACCAGTGAGTAAAATAGACTATGGGGTGCAGGAGGACATTGTATGTGTACATGGTGACAGACACCTCTATCCAACCACTGACTTGACTGTGGACATTGATGGGCAAACCTACCTGCTGACTGTGGGGGTTGTGGAGAACCTGCCGGTTCAGGTAATACTTGGCTGGGACCTACCCATACTACTGGACTTGTTATTGGACAATAGACATGACCCAGAGGAGAAGGAGACAACCAGTCAATCCTGTGCGGTACTGACTCGGGCGCAGGCTAGGAACAATCTCCAGGTGGCATCAAAGACATTGGACTCGGGGGCTGGGGGTAGCCTGAATCCAGTTGGTGATAGTTTACCTGATCTACCATTTTCTTTTGATGACAGTGTTTTTGAGGGGGGTTCTAAAGGGCTGAGAAAGTCTCGGCGTCAGCGCCGTTTTGAAAAGCAGCTGCACAGGGAGTGCCCAGACGAGCGGGGGGAGATTAAAGGCCATTGGGAAGTGCCAGGGGACATTTCAGAGTTACAGAAGGGTGATAGTACGTTGAAACCGCTGTTTTCAAAGGTGATTAACAGTGCAAAAGAAGCTAAATTTGACCAGGAATGTTTTGTACTTGACAATGATGTGTTGTGTAATGTGGGGGAAGGTTCTAAACGGCTGGTAGTACCTTCCACCGCAAGACCACTTGTTATGCACCTTGCACATACTATTCCGTGGGCGGGGCACTTGGGCCGACATAAAACCTATCTCCGTGTTAGCTCTAGATTTTATTGGCCATCCATGTATTCCGATATACAGAAATACTGTGCTTCGTGTCCAAGTTGCCAAAAGACATGCTTTGTCCGCAAATCTGACCGAGCTTTCCTTCAGCCTTTACCCGTCATTAACATTCCCTTCCGCCGCATAGCCATGGATATTGTTGGACCCCTCCCGAAAAGTAGCCGAGGTTTTCAGTATATCCTGGTTATTTCAGATTATGCCACCCGTTTTCCGGAAGCGTTTCCTCTGCGAACAATAACTGCTCCCGCGGTTGTGCGTGCTCTCATTCAGCTGTTCTCCCGTGTAGGAATCCCTGATGAAATTCTGACAGATCAGGGTACAAACTTCACCTCTCGGCTCATGCAGCTTTTCCATAAGCAGCTGGGAATCTCTCCACTCCGAACAACACCGTATCATCCTCAAACTGATGGTCTCGTTGAAAGATTTAACCAGACATTGAAGAAGATGCTGCGAAAGTTTGTATCAGACACTGGCAAGGACTGGGACCAGTGGCTGCCATTTTGTCTATTCGCCTATCGAGAAGTGCCGCAGGCCTCGACCGGGTTCTCGCCATTTGAGCTCCTCTACGGCTGGGATGTTCAAGGTCCCCTGGATCTCCTGCGTAAAGGCTGGGAGGAAGCCACCCCTCAACCCAATGAACGAAGCATTGTACAGTATGTCCTGGACATGAGGGATAGGCTGGGGAAGTACCAGGAGGAGGCAGAGGTGAACCTGCGGGATGCCCAACGCAGCCAAAAGACCTGGTATGATCAGCAGGCTCGTCATCGGGAGTTCCAGGCTGGACAAAAGGTTCTCTTGCTGCTGCCGTCGGCAAACAGCAAGCTATTGGCGAAGTGGCAGGGGCCTTACACAATTGTTCGCAAAATGGGCCCTGTGATGTATGAGGTGCATCATCCAGACAAAAAGAAGTCAAAACAGACTTATCATGTCAACTTACTCAAGGCGTGGAAAGATGCACCACCTTCCTTGCAATCCCTACTGGTGAAGAAAGTAGACTCAGATGAGGAGGAGTTGGGGATGGAGTCCCTGCCCAAATCTGCAGTTCCCGTGTTGGCCCACCTCACTCCAGAGCAGACAACACAGTTGTTCCAGGTTTTTGAAGAAGCTCCATCCCTGTTCCAAGCCAAACCTGGACGGACTACTTTAGTAGAGCATGTGATCCGCTTGAGAGAGGGACGCCCAATCCGCCAACGGTCATATCGCGTTCCACAGCACCTAGTCAACAAGCTCAGAGAGGAAGTGGAAGAGATGCAGCGGTTAGGAGTCATTGAGCCGTCTAATTCTGAGTGGTGTAGCCCAGTAGTGATAGTGCTGAAGAAGGATGGTTCCCTCAGGATTTGTATTGACTTCCGCAAACTCAATGCAATTTCAGAGTTTGACGCCTACCCCATGCCGCGTATTGACGAACTGCTCGAGCGCATTGGAAGTGCCCGGTATATCACCACCCTCGACTTGTGTAAGGGGTACTGGCAGGTGCCCTTGGGGAAGTCCAGCCGACCTTTTACCGCCTTCCAGACACCAGCCGGGCTCTTTCAATTTACTGTCATGCCCTTTGGACTGCATGGAGCCCCGGCCACCTTCCAAAGATTAATGGACAGAGTCCTCCAAGGGTGTGGTCAGTGCAGCGCGGCCTATCTGGACGACGTGGTGGTGTTCAGTCACACCTGGGAGGAACACTTGAACCACTTATCTTTGGTTCTGGGAAAGATTCAGGAGGCTGGATTGACCCTGAATCCTTCAAAGTGTGAGTGGGCGAAAGAAAGAGACTCAGTACCTGGGCTATCGTCTTGGACGGGGTGAAGTGCGGCCGCAGGTTGATAAAGTGGAGGCGATTCGCAACTGCCCCAGGCCCCGGACGAAGAAGGACGTGAGGTCCTTTCTGGGATTATCGGGCTGGTATCGCCGCTTTGTGCCACAGTTCGCCTCCATTGCAGCACCCCTCACATCATTGACAATGAAAGACCAAAAGAACCCTGTAGTGTGGACCGATGCCTGTGAAACTGCTTTCCAGACGCTAAAGGCTAGTCTCTGTTCTTCACCAGTTTTGAAAAGCCCTGACTTCACCAAACGGTTTCTGCTCCAAGTGGACGCTTCAGCTGTGGGCCTTGGAGCGGTTCTCGCGCAAGGAGACCCTGGGGAGGAGCAGCCAGTCCTATATTTGAGCCGCAAACTGTTGCCGAGAGAGACTCGCTATTCCACCGTAGAAAAAGAGGGCCTGGCAATAAAGTGGGCATTGGACAGTTTACGGTACTATCTCTTAGGTAGAGAATTTGATTTAGAGACGGACCACCGAGCACTAACTTGGATTAACACTATGAGAGATCAGAACAGCCGTCTGACGCGCTGGTATTTGTCCCTCCAACCATTCCAGTTTCAAATTCGCCATCGGGCTGGGAAAGACAATATCGTGGCAGACTTCTTGTCAAGGCTACCGCACATCGCTAGCCTCCCAGAGGGGGAGGGTAATGTGACGGGGCCACACAGCTTGTCCTAGTACTGAGAGCACCGCACTGGGACGTGCGCTCTTTTTCTCTGGAGCGTCCGTGTTATGCACGTACTACAGCAGCGTTTACACATTACCCACGGCTAGTTCTCTGTCTGGGGGGAAGTGTGAGTGCGTTTGGTGAGATCTCGGGTGCACACTAGGTCTCACCGTCGTGCTACTCACCGTTCGCGTGTGCGCGCACGTGCGTGCGCTCCTCGGGACTGCGCGCGCGTGTGTCCCGTGGGTTGGCCAAACAGAGGCAGAGACGCACACACACATTATAAGTGTTGAGGAGCGTCATGTGATCCTTATTTTGTGTTTTTGTTTCTTATGACTGTAAAGGGGGATTATTCAGTGTGGGGATTATCCTATTCTTTACTGTGTAGTGGGGGACTATTTCTATAGTATTGTTTTGGGGGTAAATGGACTTTAAAGTCAGTGAATGTATTTTGTGTTTGTCAAACGCCCAGGGGAGGGGCTTGTGCTTTAAGAGCAGGACCGGTCTGGCCTGCTCGAGTTTAGTGATGCTGGGTTGCAGAGAAGGCAACACCTGAGAACCTGAGATGAGCATGCGCCTACAACTTGTAAATATTGCACTGTATTGCACTGGGATAATAATGGGAAATAATAAATCACTGTGAAAAGTGTTTTTGACTGAGCCATTGTGTTTTTGGGAAAAGACCCCACAACAGAGACGGACTGTGATTTAACTGTTGAGTCTAGCAATGTTAAAGAACTAGAGAGGCAGTTGGAGCATAACTTGGCTGCGCTTTTTCTCAAGATGTCTTCCATTTTTTCTATTTCTGAAAGTGCCATACAAGAAGTTGTTGAACAGATAAACCAGTTCCATATGTTGTCCCAGCCATTGTTACATTCAGCCTTACAAAATGTTATAACTGAGCATTGTGCCAATATTGACCCTTCTATAATGGATAACGTAATGACGGCTTTGAAGAAAAACAACATGTTCTTAAGGTTGACTTCAACTGGAGGATCACTGTCAACAACCAAAAAAAGAAAATATTTCATATCTGAAGAGTTCCCTGTTGTAAAGCCTGTAGAATACATTCTACAAAATAATCAGACTATTGTCTATGTCCCAATTCTTGAAATGTTACAGACCCTGCTGAGCAATAAGGACATTTTGAAGGAGGCCATGTCAGAAGGACCAGATGAATCAAAGGACTTTCAGTCTTACAGGTTTCAAGAGTCTTACAGAGTGAGTTTCAAACGAAACTCACTCCTCAGCAAAGATCCTTTTTGCATTGCCCTTTGCTTGTATCTGGATGATTTTGAAGTAGCTAACCCTCTAGGAACCTCCAGAAATAAGCACAAACTATGCGCATTTTACTGGACACTTTGCAACATTCACCCAAAATGTTCGCTCTTCTTTGCATTCAATCCAAACTTGCATTGCTTTGCAAGTCCAGCAAGATCAAACAATACGGCTACAGTAAAATTCTGGCACCACTGATTCAAGACCTGGTTTTCCTTGAACAACATGGAGTTTACGTTGATCAATTGGGTATCAGTGTTCGAGGAACTGTGCTATTTGTAGCTGCAGACAACCTGGCAGCACATTCTTTAGGTGGTTTCTTTGAAAGTTTTACAGTTGATCAACTCTGTAGGTTCTGTATGGCAAAGAAGGAGGAAATACAAGTCAAAGATGTGAGAACCGGATCTTTTGAAAGAAGGTCAAAAGATAATCATGACAGACAAGTACAAGAAATAAGGCAGGATCCCACAAAGGCCCAAATATATGGTGTCAAAAGAAGCTGTCCTCTATCAGATCATCTGTCTAACTTTCATGTCATTGATGGATATCCCCCAGACATTTTGCATGACCTTTTGGAAGGTGTAGTGCCTCTAGAAATTGCTTTGTGTCTCAAGAGCCTCATTGCAAAGGGATACTTTTCTCTGGAACAGCTAAATGTGGCCATCTACGAGTTTCCATATGCCTTTTCTGACAAGACCAACAGACCTCAATGCATAAGAAAGAATTGCTTCTCAAACAACACCATAGGAGATAATGGGCATGAGAATTGGACTCTTCTTAGATTCTTGCCATTCCTGATAGGCCACTATATTCCAGAAAAGGACACAACTTGGGAGGTTTTACTTATCTTGAAAGATATAGTAGAATTGGCAGTTTCTAAGGCATTCACAGAGGAGTCATTGCAGTACCTTGACGGCAAGATTGCTGACCACAGAGAATTGTTCATGCAAGTTTTTCCATCACAAAAGCTTAAACCCAAACATCATTATATTGAGCATTATCCAGACTTGATCAGAACCTTTGGGCCATTGTCTGAGGTGTGGACCATGCGGTTCGAGGGAAAGCACAAATTTTTCAAGAAGAATGTGCGCTATGCTCAGAACTTCAAAAACTTAGCATTGACTTTGACTCGGAAACATCAGGAGATGATTGCCTTTCATTTGGCAAGTAATGCATTTTTTCGCCCTGCTTTTGAAGTTGACAAGGTGAAATCTGTGCTGCTTACTACTTTTCCTGATTGTGTACAACAAACACTACAACAAAGATTTTCTCTGCAACATACAGTCCTTGTAGCTTCCACAGCATCTGTTGATGGCATCAATTATGCACCTAACATGATTGTTTCTGTAGGATCTTGTTCTGGACTGCCAGATTTTCGACAAATTCATAAGATTTTGGTCATAAACACAGATTTAGTCTTTCTCTGCCGAAACACCACATCATGGTATGATGAGCATCTTCGGGCATACGAGCTTTGTCAGAGCAGATTGCCAGAGCTGACCGTGACAGAGTTTAGCGAAATTAATGACATATTTCCGCTCTCTCTGTATACAGTTCGAGGAAGAGCCTACATCACACTGAAGTATTTCATATTATGCAAATAGTATTTTTTTTTTTTCCCCTTCTTGCCAGGATATATACTATGGCTATGGAAGTGACGCTGCGAGTCATCATCAACAGTGAGGATATAAGGTATTAACATGTACTGATTGAATCTGACTTGAGTCTCATTTAACAAAGATGGCATTTAACAAAATGCCATCTCTAATATTAATCAGAGTGCACCTTGAACCAAACTGAACTATTTAGGTGCCAAAGTAGTAGAATTGCTATGTGAGCTTGTGAATCAGGACACTTTCTATACAGCAACCTGGCTTCCCACTTCCTACATTTCAAGTTTGAGTTTTTTGTGCATATTTTATGGGTTCATTTCTTTTTTTTCTTTTTTTTATTAAAGACAACAAAACAGACTGATACATCAACATTCCATACAAAAAAAAAAAATTCAACAATATTACAATAATAATTCACTCATTCAGACCTGCCAGGTTGTGTGTGTGTGTTTGTTTTTGTTATTTCGTTTCCTACTGGGGTGCATTTTAAAAGACCCTAGCCATGGTAGGGAGGGGGGGTGTATGTTATTTATCTACTGAGACTAATGAAAATGGTGTTTATAATGCGTTCATTTTAAAATTGATCTTTTGCAGTCTTTTAAAAAGTTTCAAAGCTCACAACTTTTCTCTTTTACATAACATTTCTGAAAACTCTGGCGCCAAAAGGGTTAATGTGGCCAGTGAGACTAACGTATGTTTATCATGCTAATCCGTTTTAGAAAACTCCAATCCATTAATTGAAACAAGTCAAATATGATTAACCCTTTAGGCCAGAATTTTCTGAAAATGATTGGAACAAAATGGAGATCTGAAACTTAATAAATGGAGGACTACTAGATCAATATGCATATAACAAACTGTTAGAAAAATGTATTTAAATGTTTGTGGGAAGCCTGGGTGGGGTTTAGAAAGTGTCCTGGATTTAGGAGCTCATGTATCAATTATGCTACTTTGGAACCTAATGGGTTAAGCCAGTTGGATCACGTCTACTCCATGATGATGCATGTTAATTCTGATATAAATCTAATCCCCAGGAAAATCATACTAAAAGACAGACCCTCAACTCTTGATGGATTAATCGCACAACTACAAGAGAAGCTGAAACTTGACTACGATTTCAAGTTGCAGTATGAGGATACAGACTTTAGTGCTCTTTGCAATCTGGATACCATTAACGACTTGCCTCAAAACAAAGCCACCCTAAAAATAATCCCCTTGGTTTGTCTCACGCTTACAAAAGTTTCCTCCCCAACCTCAGCAAGTTTATGCAGTGAATCAAGCTCAACAGACACGCTGATTCTGTCAAGTCCTTCCTCATCATCTTCAGGTTCATCATTGAGAGAGAAGGTGTGGCCTGATTTTTTTGACATACCCAACTTCTCCATAGATGTTGCATACAGATTGAGACAAGGAGACCTTCAGTATCTCAAAGACGAAACCCGCATGACACTAACATGGGATCTGAAGCATAACATATTAGAACGATTGACTGAAGAAATTTACACTTTTAAGGCAAACCCTGAAGATGAGCACTTTGAAAGTGTGGCTAAAGCGCTCATAAGCAAGCATCCATGCCTAACAGAACCCTCGCCTCCTGGATGGCTGAATTGGAAAACAAAACTGAACTCATCCTATATTTATCAACGAAGAAAGCTGAGGGAAGTAGGGTTTGAGGATGTGACAGTAAATGGAGGACGGAAAAGCAAAACCAACCCAGAAGGGGAAGCGTCAAGCAAAAATATCAAACGCCCCAGAAGAGGCGAAGCCAACTTTTTGCCCAATTTGCCTGATGGAGAGAATTTGCAAAGCATGGAAACTACAAGATTATCCATTGTCAGAGAAATGTCAAAAAGAAACCACGATCACAATCTTATCACTACAATGATGGAACAGACTTTTTCTATTCGTAGACAGGAAATCATCAAGACTGAACCCCCAGTCAAAGACCTGCTTGAAAGATGGCCAGCACTCTTCACTGAAAGACAGGTAAATTGAATGTATGCCACGTGTCTCATGTTTTTTTAATTGACTTCTAATTATTATTTTGTGTTTTATAGGTCTACTCTGAGTTTGCTAGAATAGCTAGCAAAAATATTGAAATGGACTTTTTTGATTCTTTGGACCGACATGCTGCAAGACTGATGGAAATGTTCCAAACTAAAAAAGGTGTTGTTGGACAGAAAATATCAAAACTATTGCAAAGGCAGAATCTCGTAAGTGATTTATTTTAAGCAACCTCTGACATATACTGCACTGTTGTACAAGACATAATCCATGTTCTAAATTTAGGCCAATGATGTAACTGAGCAACGACGCGTCATCATCAATGGCTTGGCAATTATTCTTGGAGATGACCCCAGCGAGTTCTTCAAGACAAGTTCAGTAGGTGCTTGTTTCAATCAAGTGTATTGGCCGATCTCTCGTCTCTGTCTCATCTCTGTACTCTCGTCTTGTCATTTGCTACTTGCGCTATACAATAATGCATTACGAGCTGGGGGGTTGTCTACTATCAATCTATGGACACAATTTTAAAACTGCTATGGAAAAGCTTATTATTAGCAACCATAAATCTGCAGAGAAGTTTAAACTACAAAGATACAAGCTTAATAAATGTTACTGTGTTTTTGATAAGTTGTTCATTTTGGTTAGTGTGCAGTTTCCTTGGATATCCAGCAGATGGCGACTGTCCTATATTAATAGAGCAAAAAAAACTACACAGTACTTTCTAAAGAGTGACTAAACACCTGTGCCCAGCCTCACTCTGCCCACATGAACATTTGAAAATGTTCTCTAAACAGGGTGTTCCCTGGAGGACCAAGGGACATGAAGGGGGCTGAGAGTTGGGCGTGGTCTGGGCTGTGATTGACAGCTCACCAGTCACACAAAAGACAGTTGTTATTGCTGCTTAAAAAAAGTTAACTCACCAGAAAGTCTTATTCTACCCTTGTTTACACACTAAGATTATTGTAGAGCTACACACCTGAATCTTAAGACACTGAATTCTCAGCATATTGTGGCTGTCGGCTGATGAAATTTAAAGTAGTACTAGAATTTAATGTGCTGCTATCCAGAATATATAACTACAATATGTGTTTATAATATTTCGGATGTTAATTTTGACATGTTCAGATGAATTATGTTTTAAAAATGACTTTGAAGTGGCACCTTTTCACAAACGCTAGGGGGAACCAAAATGGCGGCGATGACGTAGCAGAATGACCTCTCACAGCAGCAGACAGCAGTCTGGGCTGAAACTGTAGGAGGTTCAGTTTTGTACATAATAGTGTGCAACTCTTTTAACCTTTTAGCCTTATTTGTGAGATTCAAGCTAATTAGTGTTGGGCAACTTAGCTAGCTCTACTTGATATCATAAAACATGCTAACAAGGCTAATATTAGTTTTTACATTATGCCAGTCTCACTTTGCCTTAGATTTATTTACCACAATGTACATTGTAATATCCATAAATGCTAATCAAAATAACTTGAAATAAATATTTTACTTTTATGAACAAAAAGCTGCAGAAGTTGAAAACATAGACTACATGTGATGCAATCATTGATAAAAATGCTAATTAAACTGCCTGTTGCGGGACCAAGACCTGAAGTCTCTGGTGTGAAGATGTACGCCCGGTATCTGGATGCTGCTTCTGTGACCTCAGTGTGATTGTCTAATAAACTGGAAATCACATGAGTTGCAGTCCAGAGTCATTGATATTCTCTCAAATGTGTTAGCTCTAATGAGGATCACAGAAGTCATGTTTATTTCATATGTTGGATGCTTGCACCAGCATAATAAAGCAGGAAGGATGAGAGGGCGAACAAATGATCAAATGAGTCCAAATAAGTGGACTGATGACCCCTGCTTGTGTCCGTACAAAGCACACACACATTCCTTGGATAACTAGACCTTCAAAGAGATACGTCTTTGTAGTTACATGTCACTCGAGTAAACTTTGACCTTTCATGTTTCAGAGTGAAATAACTTCAGTAGAAAATATGTAGTAATTATATTGTTAGAGAGTACTATCTCAGGACTAAAGGACTGTATAGGTGTAGGTCTGATATCCACTCTGGAGTGTCGGTCAGGACACAGGAGACAGGATGCGGATGTCACTTTAGCTGTCTTTAATGAAGCTCAATCAGCAGCATAGGAACCATACGTAGTGTATGTGATCGTGGTCTATAAAGAAAAACAGTATGAGTAAATGCACTGAGCTAATACACAAATAGTCTGAACTAATCTATGAATCTATGAACAGGGAAATGGTGAATAATAGAGTGTATTCGTGCCATAAGGGCTTACTGAGCTGAAAACCAAATATAATATATATAATGGAAGCACGTGGCGCAACGCGTCTGTGAAAAATATTAGCACACGAGCTAACTGTCTTATTAGGTACAAAACTCAAACTGTAATAAACATACTAACACAATATACACATCTAAACATTCCTAACATAATGGCAAATGGCTCATGTAGTGTCCACGCCACTCTAATTAGCATGAACTTACCCTTTTGTCAATAACGCACAACTCGGAGCTGCCGATAGATGCTGCACGCCAGAGCCTCGTGCTTAACTAAAGAAACAAATACAGCATGCTCTAGCTAAAGAGGGTGCGCATACATTATAATGCCAATAGTGGGCGCTATACCCTAACTTAACATTCTTTCTAACATATAGTATATAGTCCGTCCCTGGCTGACGGATTAAAGAAACAAAACTTTACCAGCTGTATTTGCAACTGGTAAAGTTTTGTTTTTTTAAAATCCTTCATACATGGTAAAAGAATTAAACGTCATTTCAAACTCACATTTCACAGGCGTGCCTCACCCCAGATCGCTCGGTCCCTCGCAAAGTGAATGGAGCGAGTGTTCTCAGCTCATGCTAGTTGTCATTTTGTTATTTGTTTCTAACATCCTGCTTTGACAACATTTACTTTAAACATATTGATTTCCATAGTGTTTGGTAATGTATATCACATATGATTGTAATATTCAAATTTAGTTTAAAACTTCTAATTGCAGAAAAATACACAAAGAAAAAGCTAGCCTTGAGGCAGGCAGTATCTGTGCTTCACCGATGGGGGCGATAGTGAGTGAAGAATTTAATACCATCAGATTTGCTAAAAACAAACAAACCATCAGCTATTCGCTATTGCTATTTTAGCTCGCAGCAAAAGGGGAGGAAGTCATTTTGAACCGTAGATGTTTTACTAAACTAGATTTTCAACGCAATAAATTAATTATTCAATCTAAGACCAACACTGGACCTTTGCGGTCTGCATCAAGAGAAGAATGACAGAAATGGATATGTGGTTGTGCAGAAACAAACGCTTTTTATGCTTTTCCTGTTTTCGTTTTTTTTACAAGTGACCATGTGTGGACCACTGGATTTTGTGATTTAAACAAATTCCTCAGAAGTCTCACTAAACACGAACTGTTAACTGTTCACATCCAAAGTCAGATATCTTTAAAAACGTTTCGATCATCAGGAATTGATTTGGCTCTGAATGAACAACACAGGCTTAATATCAGCATCCACAAAGCTAAGGTACAGGAGCTTTCGTGGTAACGATGAGAGGACAACTTCATCAAATCGTAAAAACTATGTGGAACTATTACATGCTTTTGTTGAGAAAGGTGAGCGGTTAGCAAGACACCAGGGGACATCCACGGTATTTTCTGGATTATCAAACAGAATTCAGAATGAGCTGATCGAAGCAGTCGATGATGTGGTCAGAAATGATACTAAAAAGGAGATTGACTCACCCCCATTTGTTGCAGTGGAAGTGGATGAGACAACGGACGTCACAAATAAAGCCCAAATCTCGGAGTTTGTGTTGTGTTGCTAAAGGTGAAGTGAAAGAGGCCTTTCTCGGATTTGATGATGTGAGTGATTGAGAAATTGAGTTTGAGAAATACAATTGTTTCTAAAAGCTGGTAGCCCAGACAAATGACGGAGCATCTGTGATGGCATCAGACCTAAATGGGTGCAGACTATCTAATTAGGACATGTTCAGATTCCATATAATGATGACCAGGATTCAGAAAGTTAAATCCAAAAGAGTTTATTCCCTAATACACATCAAACTAAACAGTGGTCTGAACCAGAACACCTTTCCCTGCAAAGGACTATGGGTATAATTGGTGGGCGCTCCATCAATTATACTGGCTATCCCTCGTCCAGACTGAAACACATCACAAATCGCATAAGTAAAATGTGCAGAAGGGGCGTGTCGTATCAGGAGACGTCATCCTGGGACCCATACGTAGAAGCATAGAGCAGGTCTGGGCTCGGTCCGCATCCTCCACATCTATCGTCTGAAAAACATCTGAGAACACGGGAAGCTACACTCCCTAACTATGTGTTGTCCACAGTATGACGCTTGATATTTTAGTTTCTATCCTGTGATAGCCAGCCTTACATCTGGATCTGTCTTCTACAATGACCCCAAGGCCACTGATGGTTTGGCCAGACGTTGACCTCTTCCTTATTTCCCCTGTAAATAATAAATCCCATTGTTAGTCTAACAGGCGATGAATATAAGACACACCTGTGTTTAGTAAAAACAGACATCTATGTAATTGTTAGTACATAAGATCACTGATAATATAAAGGTGATGTTTTAGATTTTTATTTTACTATAGGAGGGACTTGCCACATTTTACAGAAAGTCAACAAAACGCACTCACGCATTGGATGATGTTGTGAAGTACAGTATGTACCAGACTGATCTGCGGGTTGTATTCAAGAACATGATTGAAATACGAACACGTGGGATAACGACACCCTGATGATGGCTGCTGGATATGGTCGGAGCTTTTTCATCATAAAGATGAAAGCTAGATTTGATCATTTGGGTAAGCTAACTTTCCTTGAAATGGCCGATTGTGCAAAGTTTGCGCAAAAGCCACATCACTTTGATAACACCAATCTGTGTGAGTTTGACAAAGTATGCCAGGTTCTTTGACTTAGACTAAAAGCTGATCTCGTGGGGCTGCATAGTTCACATACGGTGGGGAAAATATGCAAATAACCGAGACAGTCTCAACTTTTTGGCTGACAATGAGGAAAGGTCCACCTGTGGGGTTCAAGCAAGCCTCTGATCCGAGATGGCACCCCATTCAAAATTAAAGGCGCTATACCTGTTTCTGCAATGTTTGAATGTTTAGCACCGCCCCCCAACTCGCTCACAGGCTTCTCATTTCCCCTACGCTCTCATCCCACGGAGCCACCTAGTTTTATTTGCGATCTGATACATATGCTAACATTATCGCAACTTCGTGTAAGCTGTGCAACAATCACTGATGAAATGGCACTAAAGCAACGCACTGCTAACACAATATATAAGTAAAAGAATACCGCTAGTTTCGCGTCCGAATGTATCAATTTAAACATTATAATTAAATATGAGAATATATTCTAATTTATTATAGAGCTCCTCACAGCAGCAGCACTCCATTGACTTGAATGCAATTCTTCCGATAATTTTTTCTTGATAACAGAACTCTCAAACCAATAATGACCGCTGCCCTTTGACAATGCAATCTCTGTTTGTAATTCAGGTGTGTAAAATACTGCCATTACTCTGCAAGTACAACAAGCTATCAGCGCCTGTCACTACACACTTGTCTGTGTAGAGAAGCTATCGGAGCTAGCCACGCTCAATAAACAACTACATACCTATCAATCAACACCATTAAACGTTAATCGGACAATACAGTACACATACATCCTTAACACACATGCACGGACGATTTCAGAATTTGCTGTCAACGTTTTCATGACAAATGTGACAAAAAGCAATTGCGAAAAACCCGGAAGTTACCATGAAGCTAGCTAGCTTCGGACCGTCTTAATATTTGTTCAAATATGTATATTTTTTATTTTAGAATTATATTCGAATTCTGAAGTCGAAGCCCTGGTCTTAAGCAGCGCTGTAGAGGCTAGAGGACGCAGGCTGTTCGCTTCTCGTTCTGTGAGTGGAGGAGAACGTCCCGCTAAGACTCTACTCAGCACTTTTCACTGCCTGAATTTCATACACAGTGGAATCGATGACCTCAAGTTTTCAATTAAATTATGTATTATGATACAACTTGTATGTAGTAAAAAGCATTTTTATGAACTACTTAGGAAAAAAAAAAAAAACAATCGGGCATAGCTTCTTTAATGGCTTGTGCTCAATAGCGCATGGGAGACGGGGACCGAGAAATTAGCGGAACTCGTCCACATTTGGGCATCCCCAGATGCTAAAGTGCAACAAAAACACTTACCCATTGTGTTAAAGATTGTTCCAACAATCCAACACCACAATAAAAATATATAAATTGTACAATAGTGTCTGCATCCGTGTGTTGCACTCAATACCACCTCCTTCCATTTACATCATGTGTCTCCTGGAGCTCTGCATAAACAAACGTCTTCATTAAATGGATCCTGTCCCCGTGCAGACCAAAGACCAAAGGACAATTTCTCCAGCTAAGATCAGACATGAACACAGCTTTGAGAACGCAGCCTTTAGATCAAAAGAACGAAATGAGTTTACAGGTCATTACAAACGCTACATCAAAAATAACACAAAAGAAAATGAAAGCAGTGTGAAAGTACTTCCTTTAAACATGGACTGGATCACAGCGCTGCCCCATCTTCGGACGAGTCGGTTAATTTGAGTTTGCACGGACCACAAAAAAGCCAATGCAGAGAGAATTTCAATGACACAAGCAAAATGCAAATATTACACTGTGCAATGTGTGACTGATCCAAGTTCTAATGCAGAATGTAGTTTGCTTACGTAGACCAGATACCATGGCAACGCTGGGCTTTAATCACCTGCCAGAAAGAGACACAGCTCTATATGCGCTACACAAATAAAACTACAACTTCACTCTGCAGGATCATACAAACAGATTATTCAAAAATGTCTGACTTTGTGCACAGTATGTTGCACTGGCAAAGAAAGACCACAACAGCTGCTGAATGTTTTTATTTTTAGATTATACATTTGAGAAAGTAGTTAGCAAAGATCCTGCCGTTAAAACGGATAAGCCGAGACAGAAGGGAAGGCAGTTGGAGGCGTCCTGAAGGGAACAATAAAGAATTAGATTAACGACAAAAGTTGAACTATCAAGACGATTATATGCTATAATGTTTCTGATGGAAGGGTTCGCTGCTTGGGCCCCCAAGTCACATGATTACTTCCCTTTTTGAAAAGATCAGATGGCCAAACAACTGATGTATATAAATAAAGATTACTTATCACCAAACACATTTTCAATTCCACCCACACTCTTAGCCAGTATTCAGGAACTCATGCTTTGGTTGCTCATTTTTAAATGAGTTTAAACAATATATCACTTATTTTACTCTGCTCATTAGTGAAGGCATGGTCTTAATTCATACCAAACCTAGTAACTAAGGTCTTGAAAACACTGCTACATGTGATAATAGTGGTCATCCTGGACATTTGACTTTCAGGACATTTGTGGACATTGGTCATCCGCAATCGCAAATATCAATGCAAAAATCAAGAAAACTCTGCTAAACCAGTGCGAACTTGCAACTTTGTCTGAACTCTGCAACTTGTCCAGTGGCAGAGCGACTGAGTCATTGCTCTTCCTCTCTCACTAAGTACTAGTTGCGGGCGGGCTCCTGTCACTCTCACCTGTGCGAGGCACGCTCATCATAGAATGTTCCAAAGCACAGCGCAGTAAATTAAACCCTTGGTCCTCAAGGGTCTCGCTTTGTACTTATGGGTCCGCCATGTATCACCTCGCCCTGTCCCTTCTATAAACCACACAGTAACATCAGTCATGGCTCGCCCGCAGCTCAGGGTGCACACCAGGTCTGTCAAAACTCTCCTCCTACGGAGTATGTGGTTCCAGGTGACCGGGCAAACAGAGCGCATCTTTGGATAAGCATGGATCTATTATAATAACTTGTTGGCATAATTGTATCTTACTTTATGTCAATAAAGCAAATCTTTTGGTAAATGATCTAATTTGGTTTATTTATGCATTTATAATTGATCAATAAATGTTATTTTATTGTTTGGAAAGTATGCTTTACAAGGTGAAAAATCTCAACTTGCCATTACAACTTTTATAAAAATGTCCTGTGAAATCAAGCCTTTTAGCCCGCAACAATCACAATTGCCACAACCTCCTGGAGGGACTGCCTTGTGGACCAATGACTCCATGTTTTTTTTTTTTTTTATCACTGCATTTCATGTGTTTGAACTGTTTGATTCTCAGATCTGTGTTGGTGAATCAACAGTTTTGTAAAGTCTTCTGAGATAACTACTGCTGTGAATTGACAATACAACAGACATGAGGCTTTGAAGAACATGCATCACCTTAATCTCCCGAAACACGAGTGATCCCCAGAGAGCAGCGACCAGCCCATATCCCTGAGGGCCGGAGACAAGACATGTTTAAGAATCTACTTTCCACTAAGATGACATACTGATCTGAAACAGGTCTATGGTCTGAAAGTGCTTTAACCATTGCAGACCTCCTCCTCCACACAGACAGCTCTACTCTGATCTCCTCCTGTTTAACATGAGCTCCTCACCCTCTTTGGGGGGGCCAAACCACTTTTGCCTTGTCAGTCATTCCCAAAAGCTCATGCCCATTGAAGAGCGATAGGTGATGTTGGAGAAGTTCTGTGAATCTGTGCCTCTAGACTCAAAATCTTTCAGCATAAAATTGCAGTGGAAATAAAGCTATTCCTGCAGTTACATATGCATTGTCAGTACATTGCTTAACCCATTAAGGCCTGACCCACCTGGTAGAACAGACCTGTAAAAACCTATGGCCCGACTTCAAAACCACCTCCAATATCACCTGATTGATATCTCGGCCTCTGTAGCAGATAGAAACATAATTTCTAAAGAATTTCAGAACTGACACTTGTGGCTTTCAATAAGAGTGCAGTGTATTATTATAAAACCTCCAGTAGAATAAAACAAAAAATATACAGCTTCCACACAGAAAAGGTAATAAAACAACCAATAATGTGAGACTAACACATGTTTAATATGTCACAAAGAGTTTGGCAATAAAGTGGCACTAACTATGTAGAAAAAAAATATTGAAAATCCACTCTCAGCCCAAAAAGTCAAATAATGACTCAAAGGGCCATTTCTTAAAATAAAAAACATGACTGTTGTGGTTTGGTTAGTTTTGTTTTGCATGTCATTTGTGCAAAACAAATTTAGGTACCTGAGCTTTAATTCAATGAGTTTTGGCTACGCTTTATGAGGAGACTTTGTGGAGAAGTGGGAGAGACATGAGGGAGAGAGACGGGGGGGACGGGCAAGACCCGCACTTGCAGGGATGGTCCTGATTGCGCGTGTTTGATTCTGTTCGTGTCTATGGTCCGCGCGAGTCCGCGGTACATGACCACGTCACGCTGCGCTTTCGCTGATCTGTGTCAAAGCGGCCGCAGTTGCTCCCGGGGTCAGAGCGGAGGATGTTAATCCCGTTTGAGTATGTAACGCAAACAGCCCACAGTCACACATTTCACAGAAATTATATTTTCAGTGAGAAAAAGTCGGAATTCACGGATCCGCAGATAATTCCCATCCTTGGTTTATCTTGATGCATTTCTTTGGTTCAGAGAATTGATCAATGAAGAGAATAGGTCAAAAAAAGAAAAAAAGACGTATCCTTTCCCGGCCTTAAAAGGCAGAAGTGCGCAACAGCGCTCCCGGCTTGAAAGGTAGAAACGCGGGAATGCGTTCCCGGCCTCATTGGGCTACGTAAACCAGGTGTTCACAGCATTTTTTTTGTCATTGCCCTGTCAATGACTCAGCTTGAAGTCCAGGAGGGAAGGATCTTAGGGCGTCACCTGGTCTTAAACTCATTGGTGTCCTGGCCTATGCTCTGCAGTACCTGTGAGCTAGCATACTGTTACTATGGAAATGTGTCTCTGGGATGGGGAGAAGTGTGGACTCCGGGCATCCTGGGTAACTCCAGACACCCTCTGCATGACACTATGGCCGCTCAGAGGAGTAATGCCGTGTTCACACCAAAAGCAGCCAAGGTGTCAGGTTTACATTGAAAACACACGGGGGACGAGCATTTGACACGCCTCCAACGCGGCCGATGCTAGATTTGAAAACATTGAACTTTTTGGAGATGGATAATAAAGGTATGAAAATGAATGAATTAATGATTGTCCGTGCTCGTTCAGAGCTGTATAACCCCGCGGACATTAACTACCGAGACAGAAATGGAGGGTTAGCGAGGAGGTCGGTGTCTTGGGTAAGTTATTTAAACTTTTCACAATAGTCAATATTTCCCTGCGCATAATCTGTAATGTTCAGGCAACTACTAGTACTTTCCCGCTTACAGGTTGATTTTATTCAGTGGAAGTTTGCAAAAAGCGGTGAAAGAGTCTGAGGGACAAATATGCAAAGGAAAGCAGGAAGGAGAAGTTGAAGTCGCTTTGCTCTCCTCCGTGAACACAAGCGTCCAACTAGGCGCTTTGGCTGCGTTTGACGCCCAAGAAGCGTGCGGTCTGAACACGGCATAATGTTTGCTCTGTTGGCTGTCAGACTGTACAACAAACCTGTAAGAGTTTTCTGCTGCCGGACAACTGAATTTCTCCTACAGGGGACCAATAAAGTGTCTATTCTATTGTTACTATTTGCTCTATTGTTTTTACTGATGCATTTTTTTTTCTGTTTCTTTAAAATAGTCGTTTTGCTTTAACTTTCAATGTTTTTTAAATGGAACTAGCGAACAAACCATGGACACCCTGCACTCGCTCTTCATGTACTTACAGTGCTGACAATGGGGAAGGTGTTGACAGGACTCAGGTAGTGATTGGCCAAGAAGCAGCAGTAAGTGGCCAACGTCCACATCAGTCCAGACAAAAGGCCTGTGGAGGAAAAGCGATTACGCCATTGAAAAGATGAAAGCAGCAACCATCCTGACGGCTTTGGCAGATTATTATCCACAACAAATTGCTGTCCTTCAAAAAAGCATTTTCTTCAATCAATGGTTTTAACTCTAAAAAACATTTTTGTTGTTATATAGTTACATTGTACATCCGATACACGTTAGCGAGATATGAAACAAGTCCGACTCTGGGCATCAGCAGGAGTCCAGTCCCTGTGCTCCTCAGAGTCGGCACTAAACATGAGGAGGCAGCATTTCAGATTCATGCAGCTAAAATCTAGCACAGTCTTCCCGACCATGTGAAGCAGGCTTTTTCTCTGACAATGTTCAAATCCATGTCCTTTTGTATAAACTGCGTTATACAAATGAACTTGCCTTGTCTATTGGTTCTAATGTGTATAAACATGGGTCCACACATGCTCACCGGGAAGAACTGCTCTGGAGTATACTCTTGGCCGGTTACTCCGTGCCGCGCAGTAGATGGCAAAGTAAACCGTGCTGGTCAGGAAGACGCCTGAAGACTGGGCATAGATATAATCCAGATCTGTGAACGGTGAAGGGATGTCAAGCAGCTGTTGGGTTCTCAAAGACTCAAATAGTGACTCACAGGGCTCTGTCATGCAAGCAGATAAGATTTTCTATTGAGAAGCCACATTTTACTTTGTTGGACAAACATAACATTTATGAAACAAGTTTGTACCCCAGATTAAATGCTTGGATGAGCGCAAAAGAACTTTGCCAAAAGTATTCTGAACTGATAAAATTGAATATATTATTTTGATCACTTCCTCATTTATATACGGCATTCAAAATTATAGTTTAACATCAATGTGTATTGGTCGAAAAAATCCTAGAATTTCAATGTTTGCAAATTCCAATTTTATCCCGAGGATCACTTTCAAACCTCTACAGCAGAATAATAAAAAAAAAACAAGAATCGATTTTCTCTCAAGCGCCTGCGGCCACAGGGGGAGACAATCTTGAAATCGTACCATAAACACTGGCGCCATGGAACATGCTGTCACCACATGATGAATGACTCTTGATGTAGAGGATGGGGATGAAGGAGGATCCATACAAGAGTCCTGAGAGCACGGCGAGCAGGCAGCCCCTGACCACAACACAACGTCAATTATGTTCACACAAAAAAAAGAAATACTCTGCGTGTTTGTGGAGCCCTTTCATTAAAGAAAGACCGATACCTTCTTGACAGTAATAGCTGAAGGCGATTTGTGGAAGGCCCGGGGCCATGAAATCAAATGTTTGTATGTTTATTGTATGCGGATGCTCACATGACGCGTCGGCTCCGGGGCCCCATTGAGTCCATCCAGAAGTCTGCGCAGGGGGGCCCGTAACTGCCAGAGTGAGTCCGCTGCAAGACATCACACCATCAACCACCACCACCTACGGGTTGCTCATGGGACACACAAGCACATCCATACAGCTAATGCTTTGTACCTGTAGATCAAAGGAACATTAACATCCAAAAAACAGTTGCAATAACAAAAAAATACACATCCTCTCTTTTCTATTGACCATTTTATACAACGGGCAATGTAATTCAACGAAAGTCTGGATCTTTCTGGACTGTTGGCAGAGATACACCAATTTCGATTGCCGTGTCCATAATGTCTTTTGTGTGAGAAGTGCTCAGGTTTGGCAAAACGTATCCGCACAAATGCACATTCTGATTGCCTTAAAACAATATTTGTGAATGGGACAAGTAAAATGATCTTGTTTAAAAGTAAATGTCTTCCTTGAAATGAGACAAAGCAACAGTTCTTGAAATAAGAGAAAAAAGCTTTGTCCCATGAGTCAAAATGTACTTAAGATAAAAAACACTCGATTCAAGCCATGATTACCCATTTTGTAACTTTTTGCAGTGTAGTGCTGAAGTGTGCTCGCATGTTTGAGTGGACACCAGTATTCTGCACAGTCCAGTGTGTGGCAACAAGAGCTTACAGAGCGGTTGGCTGTGGCTCTGGTCTGGACCTCGTCTTGGACTTTAGGGACACTTACTCTGTCAAACAGCAGCGGCGTGGACTCCGACGTTGGATGCAACTGGTTCGTCTTCACAAAGAACAAGATGAACAAACTAGGAGCAGACGATAGTTCAGTCAGAACACAGTCAGCTTCTATCGACTTCTCATTCAGTCAGGTCCAGATTAGATTTAATAAGTATGTCTTTAGGTAATATAGTATATGATGCACTGGAAAAAATCTTAAAAGTAAAAAACTGCTTGAAACAGGGGTCTCCAACCACATTTCAAGTATTATTTACTTATTTCTTAAACATATTTGAGAAAAGTTTTCTTATAATACAACATAAGATACCGATTTCATCTAAACAAGTAAGATTTATTTTATAGCGCATTTTACAGATCAAGGTCCCCCAAAGCGCTTTAGAGTAATTCAGATATTTTTCCATTCTCTCTACACACGGTGATGATGGAAGCGAGTCGCAGAACACACTGGTGCAGCAAAGCCTCCGACAAAACACCATCCATTCACTCGCTCATTACATTCATAACTATTGTGCATGTTTTCAGTGCTAGGGGAAACCGGAGTACCCAGAGGAAACCTACGCAGACACGGAGAGAACATAAAAACTACTCAGAATGGCCCTGTTATGACCAGGATTCGAATCCAGGACCTTATTTCTGAGAAACGAGAGTGCTATCCACTTAGCCACCGTGCCAAACAACAAGGGAAGTTGTCTAGAAATAATACAAAATACTTTAAAAAACATTTAAAAACTTTTTTCTCTAAAATGATGAAGAATAATGATCTTAAGACTAGTAAAATAATCTTGTGGCCAAAAAAAAAAGCTATAACAAAAATAAGTATTTATTATTTTTAGTAAATAAATCTAACCAAGATTTTTCTTTATTAAGTGTGGAAAATGCTGTATAAATCTCAACTTGGTTTGGTGGAGGGCATTACCCGTTTTCATGCATTCAACATTTCAATTCATTTTGCAAACATCACAGCTTGTTTTTGTACATTCCCAGATGTGTTAAAAACTAAGTTGGAAAAGTCATGTGGATGTAGACGCAGAGCTATTCATGACTAGTTATCTCCTCCCACGGTCTGGAGTTAGCGCAAACAATTGAGATGGCTCACTTATTTTGAGCGTTTTTCACATAAGGAGCATCAGACGAGAGAAAGGGCGACAACAAAAACACATTATACACAGTCCTATCTTCCCGTCATCTCCTTCTGTCACCTGCCAATCAAACATGTCACAACCTCCTCCTCCTAAAGCCAGTCATCAGTCCAGGCCTCTTCTCATATCGCCACTGCTGCGCCTGAGGGCCTAAATATATTTGACTGCATCCCCTCAACATTCCTCGTCTATTTAGTCTACCAAGTTTAACCCAGGTTAACTTTGGTAGACTTTTTATTTTTCTACCCGAGATGATACTGCAGTAGCCTGGCCTTAACCATCCGGTCAATCATTTCCCTGCATGTAACGTCTGGGTCTGGTCCCTGTGTTTGCGATCACGATCGGTTGAATTCCATCCGACCAATCAGCGAGCACGGGAGGCAGGTGTTGTAGTTAGTTGTGGGTGACGTCAAGCGTTTGCGCCGAACGGGCAGGTTGTAGTTTGGCAATGGCGAAGAATGCAAAAGTAAAGTATTCCGGTCTGGTTCTATCAAGAAATTGAATCCGGAGCAGAGGATTGTTTAGGAAATGTCGCTTCTGTCAGTGTGTCCCAGGGCAGCTGTGGCTACAGTAGTTTATCACCACCGTGTATAGAGTGAAAGAATGAGATGTAAAGCGTCTTTGAGTGTCCAAAAAAGCACTATATAAAACTGATGCATTATTATTATTATTATTAAATGTAATTGATGGCAAATATTGTGGTGCTACTCCCCACCAAGCCCCTGTGAACCAAGACAGAGCCCTATTCAAATGAATGGCTTGTACTCAGTAGCACATGGGACTTCACGGTTCTGCGCAGTGGACGGGCTCCCATGATGCGTTGCTCCAACTACGTGTGTGGCTTTCATGCACGTGCACAGAGGGGCTCGGCCGCGGTCTGACCAATCAGAGCTGCTGATGAGAGCAGCGGTAGAGCGGAGTCAGAGCGGGAAGGCAGGGAGTAGAGTTTGTGGCAGTAAAGTATAGGATTTTTTTTTTTTTTAACGAAGGATTTGAAAAGTTCAGGATGACAAGGAACAATAAAATCCCCACAAAATCCGATCTTTATGAAAGCTGTAGGTTTTCTGTCAGCTGAGGTCGAGCCGTTTTAACTTACATTGAGTTATATGGGACTTTTTTCTGGGAAGCCCACGTGAATTTAGTTTGCAGTACCGCAGGCACCCCCCTGTGCCCGTGGGTGGCACAGCTATAAGCTAGTAATACCCTACCCAGTTATTAACATAGATCCATGCTCCTCACAGGCTCCGTTAGCATTTAGCCTAGCCATCTCCTTTGCCGCTAACCACTCACTCGGGCGCATTACACAGTAAACTCAGATCCAATCATTTCAATCTGCAAAGGAGTTAACAGGAGGGAGAGGTTAACAGAGCTCAATGGAGCGCCTCCAGACCATAGTACGAAATGTCATTTGTACTATGGTGTGGTACAACCTATACGGCCTATTACCGCAGTACAGTCTTCATAGTTTTGCACTGGTCCAGACCGGAGCAGAGAGGATTCATGTCCCGAAACAACCGGATCAGGTGAAAATCCACCAAAGAAATGCTAACTTTGGACCAGAGCACAGAAAATGGTCCGGACCAAGCGGCTACTCCACCTCTGCTGCTGTGACCCAAAATAATGTTACTCATTACTATTCTTAGCATCAATTAATTTGTTTTGTCTGTGTGGATGGATGTGTTTTTGCTGCTACTAGACACCTGAATTTCTCCTACAAGGATCAATAAAGTATCTAAAAAAAAATAAAATTGTTGGCTTTGCAGAAGTGTAGCTTTACTTTAACTGGCCCTGAGCACAACCCATGTTCAGTGTTGCCAACTTAGCGACTTTGTCGCTAGATTTAGCGACTTTTCAGACCCTATAGCGACTTTTTTTCAAAAAAGCGACTAGTGACAGATCTAGACAAAGCATTAAAATCATTAAATGTTGTTAATGTTGAAATGATTTTTGTACATTTGTAGTTCTAAACATATTTAGGGTGTTTTTTACTCACTTTTGTCTCTCCCACAACGTTATTCCTCTCTCCTACAGCGTTTTAGTTAATAATTGAATAATATTTCAATAATAATTGAATTGAATAATAATTGAATAATTCCAAATTCAATTATTTGGAAATTGCCAATTATGCAAATTAGGCGATGACGTCATTTAGCGACTTCTAGCGACTTTTGGGACAGCCAATAGCTACTTTCCTTACTAAGGAGTTGGCAACACTGCCCATGTTTCACCTTTCAATTTCATTTCAAAGTAATACGTGCCCCTCTGTCCCCAATTTTCTCAGGCCTGGATTAACCAAGGACCTGTTAGCTGTAGTCTGTTCATTACTATTCCTCCATTGTCCACTTGTTCTGCTCTGCCTGGCCTCAGTCCCCGGGAGCGGATCCCTCTCTCCTTGTGGGCCTCCGAGGTTTCTCACTTATTCACAACAGGGTTTTTAAGTCATTCGTTGCCAATGCAGAAGAGTGAGGATGATCCGGGACATTTACGGTCTTCCGGAGACGACTGCTGTTGGGATTTAGGGCTATACAAAAACTTCTGTCACTTCTGTATTTTGCACAATCTGAGTGATTCCATCTATGCTAAATGTGTCATGTAAATTTCTCAATTGTGAGATTAATAAAGTTTCTTATATTAAAATTCTCGGTCTGCCCTCGTCTCCCTCTGCTCTCATCCCCCTCTGCAGCCCTCGCCTCCCTCTGCCCTGTATGTACTATACATCCGAGGACAGATTGATCCATGTTCATGAATAATAATAATCCTAATATAGGAGTGAATGTATGCATGTGGTCTGACCATCTCCGCAGCATGAAATGAATATCCTATCATGTCAGTGCCCAAGGAGCTCATTATTGGCAGCAAAATATTTAAAGATGTCTAAGCTTTGGGGCAACTCAAGGAAATTAGCATCTGCTCCAATTTGGTCTCAATTAACACCATGAAATGCAGTCTTTGTAACATGTTTCATTGATGTGTGCCACACACAATAGAACGCCAGATTCCATTATGTTAGCGCCAATAATTAAATGAAATTAACGGCACCCACTCTTCTACCAACGGTATCAATATCCATTCAAGCTAAAGTGGCTTTTATGGTGAGTCAAAAACAGCCCAAGCTCGTTCCCCTTTCTTTGATTGGTCTCGAAACCGCGCCAACTTTTCCATGCAAGCACCAGGTCAATGGTCCAAGACGTGCGGAGGAGAAATAATTAATTTAAAAATATTTGAATATTTAATCATAATTTATTATACAGTTCCTCACAGCAGCAGTAGAACGCTCCATTGATTTGAATGTAATTTTGATCATTATTTCTTGATAACAGACTCTCAAACGAATAATGACCACTGCCCTTTGGCAACGCACTCAGTGCTTGTACTTCAGGTGTGGAAAACACTAAGATTACTCCGGACAGTAAGTAAGTAAGTAAGCTTTATTTATATACCGCCTTTCACAGACCAGAGTCACAAAGCGGTTTACAATTGTTATTTTTTGGGCACTTGTCTCTCACTCCACACAGAGATGGGAGCGGGGTCGCCGAACAGGAGGCGCATGCCAGAACTATTGGACATATTTTTAGTGGTAGGGGAAACCGGAGTACCCGGAGGAAACCTACGCAGACACGGGGAGAACATGCAAACTCCACTCAGAAAGGCCCTGGTCCGGCCGGGATTCGAACCCAGGACCTTCTTGCTGAGAGGCGAGAGTGCTATCCACTCAGCCACCGTGCCGCCAAAAAAAGCGATCGTGGTAAACCCGGAAGTTGGATAACATTAGTAGAAGATTTTAGGACATACTGTATTTGCAGAGGATCTGATTATGAATTTAGGTTAAGTTTATATTTGTAATAATATAATTTTTTGTTAAAAGGAGCTATACCCGTTTTTGCAAGGTTTGCTTGTTTAGCAGAGCTGTAGAGGCTAGAGGACGCAGCCTCGTTCTGTGATTGGAGGAGAGCGGTCGTCACGCTAAGTCTCTACTCAGCACTTTTATACGGCCTGAATTCATACACAAGCTGAATCAATGAGGTCAAGTTATCAATTACATTCCGGATTATAATACAACTTGTATGTAGTAACAAGCATTTTTATGAACTCATTAGAAAAAAAATCGGGTATAGCTTCTTTAAGTTTTCATGTAGTTCCAGAGAGTTCTATAGTTAGCTAGCCTAGCTGTTAGCCGTCCAGCCACGTCAGCGGGAACCTTTGGGAAATGAGATTATATAATATATATATATATATATAAAAAATGGGAAAAAAACAGTTTGTTGAGTTAAATTGTGGATTTATAGAAAACTTAAGGATTTAAGGAGAAAAAAGTTCAGGATAACAAAGGACACTAAAATCCCCACAAAATACGACCTTTATGAAAGCTGTAAGTTCTGTCAGCTGAGATCACGCAGTTTTAGTTTACTTTGAGTTCTACGGGACACTTTTCCAGGTAGCCCACATGAAAGCAGTCAGGAGCACCACAGCGCCCCCTTGTGCCAATGGTGGGACAGCTATAAGCTAGTAATACCCTATTCAGATATTATAGGTCCATGCTTTAAACTCGATGTGTGTGTGTAAAAAAAAAGTGTTAGGCTGCGTTCCCACCGCCGATGCATGGACGTGCATTCACCAAATTTAAGCTGCACGAGGTTAAACAATCTGACAAACTGCTCTGTGACAGGGAAATGCTAGCGGCTTTTGTGTAAAGTTTTCCTCCACGAGTGCAGCTCCACAGCGTCTCTGTCTCAGACCCTCCAGAGACATCATCTAACAGCAGTATCTACACTTGTTTACAGTCAGAGAATGTCAACTCAGGGTGAAGACATGTTTACAAGAGCTGCATGCCCAGTTGTCAGCCCTGATTCAGCGAATGTTTTGGTGGTTTAAGTGTCTTTGTCTTTGGCCCTGCTTGTGTCCCTGTGACCACTTTGGTTTCCGCACATGTGCGGAGCGAGGATGTTCAGTGAATCTCAGTTCCTGCTTTTGCTGCATGCATCCAGCCGCTGTACCCACCGCCTCTGCCGCGTGGAAAAAAAGTGTCCCCCATGCCAGCCAAACGTGCGTGCCGCAAAGTACAGTATATGCGAATACTCTCACAGACGTACGTCAGCACTGACTTTGCATCAAAACTCGCACAGCGCATGATCCGGTGAGAACGCAGCTTTAGTCAGTAACCTACAGAAAACTGTGGTCTTTATTTTTCCCTTGCAGATGGAGGAGGGTGAAAGGACAGTGGTGATGGACACTTCAACAACATTTATGAACAATGATCATCTACCTTCAATGGAGAAATGGCCTTTCCTGTCATTCTCTAGCCGAGTCGTACCACACCATAGTATAAATTACATTTGTACTAAAGTCTGGTGGTGCTCCATTGAGCTTCGTTTACAGATGGGAGGGTTTAACTCTTTTTGCAGATTGAAATGATTGTATCTGAGTTTACTGTGACGTATAATGCGCCAGAGTGAGTTAGCATTTAGCCTAGCCATCTCCAGTGCTAGTAAAGGAGCCTGTGGGAAGTAGCGCCACAATCTTTGCCAGCAATTACATTTGCTAAACATTCCTCTTGCTCCAATTCTTGATAGAATCAGACCGGATTAATTGAGTGGCTGCAAAGACTATGCAGCCACTATATGCTATCCTACTGTTTATTGTACTTCCGCCAGATTTTGGCAGTTTTAAACTCTTCAACGCTTTCACCAAATTCAACAAATTATACATCGTTACGACCGGCTTCACCGTCTCATTATTGCTATTACTTTTCACACTTCCACCTTTTGCACTTTTTCAGATATTAACAAGTTCAAGCACTTTTTCCCATTGACTTACATTGGACCAGTACAACAGATTACTCCCCATACAACACATTACCACACTAACAAATCATTACCACAGATACAATACATTACAACATCTCACAACACTTATAGCACCTTACAACACATTCAGCACCTGACAACACATTCTTCTTACTTCTTCCCCTTCTTCCTCTTCTTCCCCCCCTTCTTAATCTCCTTCCCCTTCTTCCTCCTTCCCCTTCCCTCATTTTCTTTCTTCTTTCCTCTTTTTCCCTTTTCTTTCTTCTTCCTTCTTCCCCTTCCTCTTCATCCCTAACCCTTCCGACATCTATGCAGCCACTCACAATGGCTTCAGCCATTGTACCATTTCTAGTTTACTATCATATTCTTCGCCATTGCCAAACTATATTACAAACTGCTTGTTCACCGCAACTCCCGTGCTCGCTGATTGGTCGGATGGAATTCAAACGATGCAATTGCAAACACAGGGACCAGACCCAAACGTTACATGCAGGGAAATTGTGAGTGTACGGATGGTTAAGGCCAGGCTAGTCATTCTCTGATCTGTGCTGGTAAACCGGGAACTAATATTCCGCCATACATAATTAAATTTAATTGAGGCTTCCTCAACCCAAAACACACATAGCTCACCCCAGCATACACAGTCCCACTCCGCTGTAACTCAGCACAGGCCTGGAGCTGAGCGAGGCTGTCGTCCCAAACCAGCCAAACCTGCACAACAACAACAACAACTGTGAAATCCAAAATTATGTGCTCGACTATTTCATTACGCGTTCCATTATTAGTTTCCTGGAGGCGAAAGGTGAACAATTGGACAGACCTTGAAGTGGCCCAGATCATCAGCAGACTGGACGCTCCCCACATAATGATCCCGAGGCTGAAGCCCAGGGCCTTCAGGATCGGCACCGCCGTGATGTTGCCTGAGGAGGACATCAGTCAATCAGTCAATAAGAGTTGGTGAAATGATCAGACTTAAAAGAATGACTAATATTTAATTCTTGAATTAAATGAAAACATTTAATTCAAGGATTTCAACACACTTAAAAGAGGCACAGTTCATATTTAAAATTCTATTTAGATCATCTTGTCAATGTCCATATGTTTATATTTGGCCTCACTGCCCAAATGATTTGTCTGGTTTAATTCTAAATTAATCACTCACACACTTAATGTAGGTGAATAATCTTTAGTTCTCAGTGTTATCCAATCAGAAAACATGGGAATTCATTCTCTGGTTTCAGTTCTTTGTTGAAATCCATCTCTCAAAGTATATCTCTCATCTGGTTTCTATGGCTAAAACTTGGCTCACGGACAGAGGAGCAGAGTCCTCTCTGGATCAGCCCGTTTGAGTTGAAGTGACGTCACGTCTATGCAAGAGATGGTTATAATCTCACAAGTTTTGAGTGTTGTATGGTGTATCACTCAAATTATTATCACACATAATCATAGTATAGACTGAAACATGAAGAAAAGCATATTATTGAACCTTTAATGGTTTCAATTCAATTCCATCATAAAAACCCATGTTTTGTCACTGAAGAAGTGTCCCACAGATGTGCTACATCCCAAAAGTTATTTTAGCAAACACAGAGTGGAGAAATCACTCAGAGTCTACAGACAAGTACACTTTTCTGTCATTTGCTTTTCCCACTCAGCTCCAAGTGCTGAATGTGCTTCCAGTTTGTTTTGGCGCTCATAGAAAGCTCTTCAGCTTCAGAACAAGCTCTTCTCCACAGAAAGTCTCATTGTACAGTGTAGTTGTAACTGTGCTCATGATTTCACCGAATTCCAGAAGCTAAGCAGTACAGTGCCTGGTAAGTATTGGGATGAGAGTTCATACCAGGCTCAACTAAATAATAATATTAACTAAATATTTAACATTCTGTTAAATCAGGAGGAAACTGGAACAGAGCGCTGCCAAACACCCTAGATAAAAATAGTTGGCGCTGAATAACTATGATTGTTCCCAACTTGACCAGCCTTGGGCAATTTAGACTATTTTAGGACATAATTTGATTAATTTTTAATTACTGTGGTGGGTCATTTTGACACGAGGATAGCACAAGGATTAGGCACAGGTCACACAGAGGTGCTGCTGGAAGAATCTCTTTGAGAGTCAGTTTAGAATATAATAACATTTTTCTGTTTATTTGATTGGGTAGATCAACACATTGTCTCTCGCACAACAGAGCAGGCCTCCATTGAGCACCTGGATCTCAAATAAATGTGAGATTCAAATGTTGTTTAATATGTAAGGGATAATGTATAGCCTACAGGTCATTATCGGAAAATAAGTACCGACAGGGCGAAGCGGACCCCGACGCGCAGCGGAGGGGTCTGCTTCCGCCCTGAAGGTACTTATTTTCCGATAATGACCTGTAGGCTATACATTATCCCGCTTATTATACTGCTTTGTACCAACTTAACACACAAAATAAACTTCAGATCACTTTTATGAATGCCAAAAGTTTATTTAATGACAACAAATAAAGTAGTCCCAAAAAGTTTTCCCGTTGCTCGGCAACCGCGGGCAACAGTTAGGCTGGCAACTTCCAAATTAGAACTCTCTGGAACTGCATGAAAACTGAACAAAGAATTCTGAACATCAGCGGTGAGTGACCCATACATAAACCTAACCTAAATCCATAATTCGATCCTCTGCAAATGTGTCCGAAAATGTGCCGGTATCTTAAAATGTGCCGGTATCTACTTCCGGGTTTTTCGGGATCGCCTTTTCTTGCATTACATCAGTGTTTTTGTCATGAAAACGTAAACGAAAAATTCTGAAAACTTCCGTGCACTTGTATTAAGACTGGATATGTATAAATTACTCTCCGATTAACATTTCATTGCGTTGATTGATTGGCATTTGCGTTTATTGAGCGGCCAGAACTACTTCCGGGTTTTTCACGATCGCTTTTTGACGCAGAGAAATAGTATTTTTGTCATGAAGACAAGACCAGAAAATTCTGAAAACTTCCGTGCACGTGTGTGAAGAATGTATATGTATAAGTATTCTCCGATTAACATTTAAGTGTGTTGATTGAGCGTGGCTAGCTCCGGAGTGGCCGGAACTACTTGCGGAGTTATCCACGCATTTGAAAGACAAGCAGAGAGTGCGTTGCCATGGGCAGCGGTCATTATTGTTTTGAGAGGTCCGTTATAGAAAATAATGACCGGTAGAACGTTTTGAAATTACATTCAAATCAATGGAGCATTCTACTGCTGCTGTGAGGAGCCGTATAATAATTTATAATAATATTGATGATTGTTGTTAGTGAATATTGCTCAAGGCAGGACATGACTCCACTGCAGTTTATGACTTCTTGATGTGGCAGCATAAATCTGACAATGTTTTCTGAAAGTGCACACACACCCACACACCTGTGGCCCATATGACCCCTCCCAGCATGGCCAGGGGGTAGAACCGTGGAGACTGAAGCAGCAGATCTCCCACCAAGGAGAGCAGCCAAATCGCCGAACACGAAACCCAGTGGAAGAACACACCTGCAGATGTAAACACTGTTAGGACCTGCACGTCAGGCCGTCGTGGTCCCAGTCAGGCCGTCGTGGTCCCAGTCAGGCCGTCGTGGTCCCAGTCAGGCCGTCGTGGTGTCCCAGTCAGGCCGTCGTGGTCCCAGTCAGGCCGTCGTGGTCCCAGTCAGGCCGTCGTGGTCCCAGTCAGGCCGTCGTGGTCCCAGTCAGGCCGTCGTGGTCCCAGTCAGGCCGTCGTGGTCCCAGTCAGGCCGTCGTGGTCCCAGTCAGGCCGTCGTGGTCCCAGTCAGGCCGTCGTGGTCCCAGTCAGGCCGTCGTGGTCCCAGTCAGGCCGTCGTGGTCCCAGTCAGGCCGTCGTGGTCCCAGTCAGGCCAACGTGGTCCCCGTCAGGCCAACGTGGTCCCCGTCAGGCCAACGTGGTCCTCACCGTCTCCCATCTCCACCCTCTTGACCGGGACGTAGGTGCTCCCGTACAACAACACGGCCACAGCGTTCGCAGACACACCGTACGCCAAGTGAGTGAGGTTTGTGGAGTTCAGCGCGTTCTCCATTTCTGAACACACACACACACACACACACACACACACACACACACTTTGGGTACAACATTTTAAAATGGTGTATTTTTTTGCATTACATTCACGTTGGGATTAACCAAAAACATACATTTCAATTGAACTTATACTTTTTGTATTGCCCTAAATCACAACAGCAGTTACCTAAGTGGACTTTACAAAGTCACAGAACAGACACAGTGAATGCAATGATAAAAAGCACACGGCCATTGGTCATGTTTTTGTCCTAACAAAGTCAGATCAGAACACACCATGCCATCATTAGAAAACATGTCCATTTACATTCTTGTAAGAAAGCCCTTTGAGTCCCGTTATGCATTTTGAATGACTTGTTGCATCATTAAAAGTATAGTCTTATAATTTGTTTTAGTCTCTGAAAACTAAATCCTGTCAAACAGCGATTGATAAGATCTGCATAAAGAAAGAAAGCACAGATAAGAGATAAGCTCTCCTAGACAGCTGATTATCTTTAAGTCCAAAGTGTTAAATAGTGACTCACAAGGCTTAAGTTAAAGTTAAATGCATTTTCCATAAACCTTCTGGAGGGAAAACGGAGAGATTCACCCTGCAGAGTCTAAGTCTAAGGGTCGATTCGAAAGTAAAACACAAACTTTTAGTGCTCTTGGGGTGACCGCTTATCAGGATGAACACAAAACACAGCAGAGTTTAGCCTCAGGTCTGGTAAATAATTCAGTCGTAGCTAAAACACACAACCACAAAAGTCAACAAACTTATACTGCAGATGCACCACACGTTTAACAAGATTACCCACCTGGTAGCAGGTTACTTCTTGGATTCACAATTCACACAACCTTAAAAAGTGGTTAAAAAGAACAGTGTGCGGGGGCTCCCATTATGTAGTTCATTATGTGCTGTAAACATATAGCAGTGTGTGTCTGCTTGCTTGTCTGTCTCTGTGTGTGTGTGTGTGTGTGTGTGTGTGTGTGTGTGTGTGTGTGTGTGTGAGTGAGTGCTTGTGTGAGGCAGGTGTGGCAGATCGCTCATTAGGAGGCTGTTGTGACTCTTTGTGTGTCCTGTACAAATGGAACTGTTCTTCTGCTTTGTCCAACCCCTTTTTCAAACTGTGTATTGTGTTTCATATTTGTTGTATCCCATTTATTATACAACAAATATCCATGAGTTTGAAAACTTAAATCACTAGTCCTGTTTGCATGTACCATATTATAATCAAATAGCATTTACCAATACCAATGTTCTGTTTCTTGTTGAAATTATTTTAATTTGAAAGTGAAAAATGGGAGTAAAAAGTGAATGCTGTTTTGCTGCTGTCAGGTGTGTGATGAGAGGAACCATCTCCTTCTGCTGCTGTCGGAAACCGGTGCAGCTCCAGCAAATTCAATTCAATTCAATTCAATTCAATACTTTATTTTGGACACAAGAGTAAAAGGTCCATACTAGAAGACATAAAACACATAAAAAGCAAATAAAAAGATAAAAGACAAATCATTTCCTGTATAGGCTCTGAAGCCAGTGAGTCCATAAACTGGAGAAATAACGCACCGAGCTCAGACCTGGGTTGGTCACTGCAGCAATGATGCTGTTGACAGAGCGGGACAATCTGCACATGCTCCTGTACATGAGATTACGCAGATTACTTGATGTCAAAGTCTGTTCCATACTGGGAGCATACCTGCAGCCGCTCTTTTAGCCCAGCACTATACGGACTAAAAATTGCAAGGTCGTCAGCGTACATTATGTGGTTAATCACACAGTTGCCGACCCGACAGCCAGTCCCACAGTCATTTAAAAGTCTTGACTGATCATCCATATACAAATTGAATAAAAAGGGAGACAAAATGCTGCCCTGTCTCACTCCATTAGACACACAGAAAGGTGCAGATAAACAATTTCCCCATTTAACAAACATTGACTGTTGGAAGTACCAGAAAGCCGAAATTCTTACTAGGCATTTCGGAACACCTCATGTACAGCTTAGAGAACAGTTTTTCATGATTTACATAATCAAAAGCCTTTGAGGCGTCAATAAAGCACATACAGATTGTGGTATTGTGTCCATAGCAAAGATCACACATTTTTTTCAGAGCAAAAATATACATGTTCCATGTTTAGGTTTGAAACCAAACTGATTATCAGACGTACTGTAAGTAGGAACTCCTCCATCCTGTTCAGAAGAGCTAGCTCCAGTACTATGAATGTGCCAGAGTGTGGTTTTGTGTGTAAGATGTTAATAGTGTGTGTTTCCCTGTAATCTAGACTTATGCACATCTGCTAAAGTGACGTATATCAAGTTTATGTTTGTTTAGATTTTGATTATTTATGTCGTACAGTTTGTAATAATCCCGAACTCAAAACTTCACAATATTAGAATATAATGAAAAGGGACAGTAATGAAAGATGAAAAAGCATGCAGTTGGGCAGAAAGCAGTAGTCTACCTTGTGAAATGCATGTTTGTTTATTGTTTAGTTATTTTTAGTTATTTAGTTATTAAATGTTTATTTTGTTTTAGTATCATCGTTTGAAAATAATCCACCTGCATCACCACCGAATCCCCCAAGCACCAGTGTGGCAGAAGATGAGGTTGGAGATGGAAGAAGCGGAAGGTGGAGATGCCCAAGAAGCAGACGATCGTCTCTGCAGAGTGTCCTCAGAGAGCCAGCACAGCAGGATAATGCTGTCTTGAACAACATCACCCAAGTTCTTGCTCGAGCCATGGACTGTTTTGAGCGGTCAACAGCAGCTGCTGAATGCCATGCTTAGAGCCACGTAGAGCCATCAAATTCGGTACACATGTTCCTCAAGTAAAGATATGACCAAAATGTTATCATGGCTCCGCCCTCTGACAAACAGGAAGCCCATAAATTTCACTGCAAAATGGAAAAATTATCCGCAATCATTTTCATACATGTCGGTTGGAAAGCGACTCCTCCTCGGCCGTTTCACCGATTGGCCGTTTTTGACAACATTCATTTTGCTCCCGTTTGCACAAACAAAGTCTGATTTGCACAAAACTTGAATCCAATGTTCAACTTCAGGGTTTAGGTCAGGTGAAAGGGAAATATTTGAAATTGGCCCATTAGTGCCCCCTACAGATTGAGGCAAAGCTTTACAAGGGGTGCCAAACAGCTCTAATCATCATATTCATTACAATTTGACTAACTTCTTCTATGGCTACAGCAACAAATTATCACACGGCGGCCCCACCTCCTTTGCGCGGTGCTGCGTGTTACGGTGTGGTGCGGGGCGTTGTGGAGCGACGCGTTGCGGCTTGGTGCGGGGCGGCATGGTGCAGATCCGCTTGGTGCGGGGCGGCTTGGTGCGGGGCGGCTTGGTGCGGGGCGGGTTAATGCGGGACGGCTTGGTACGGGGCGGCTTGGTACGGGGCGGCTTGATGCGGGGCGGCTTGGTACGGGGCGGCTTGATGCGGGGTGGTGCGCGCGGTGCGGGGTGTTGCTCGCGGCAAGGGCCGTTCGACACCGCTTGCGGCTTTAAATTACACTTGTGGCTGATTTGGGGTTACATAAGTCACTTCATTTTGTTAAAGCTACACTATATAATATAATCCTGTAACTCTCAAACCAGTTTGGTTCTGTCAAATGCAAAGTTATAATGATTTGAGATAAAATCATCATAACTTGAGATACAGATAAAATGAAGACAGCATGTTGTGGTCTGATTCGTTTGCAGCATTTTACTTTTACAAGACTGTTGAGACTTGTAAAAGTCTCAACAGTCTTATTTGATGCAATGCATTCTCATGTTAACTTACCTTAAATAAAAGGTTTGAAGGTTTTCAAATAACTTGTTTCCAAACTTTGTGATGCCTGAGCAGGTGATTCACCAGAGCCTGTCTGATTTGAACTCCCTCCGAGTCTGGTTCATCTTGGTTCATGGCCTGAGGTGGTCGTGGTTGAGGTACATGGTTTAATTCTGCAGGTGCTAGCCGTTGCCTCTTTTCCTCACACACATTAAGCAGAATGCAACAACTTCTGGCATAACATCATGGTGGATGTCTGATGTTTTGGCCAGGACACGCCACCTAGCTTTCAGATGCTCCACTTTAACTCTAATAGCACCAAGGCGCTCATTGAACAGTAGTTGTTCCTGTGTTCCTGTGCGCAGAAGTCAAGATATTCATATATCTCACGTAAATCAAATTGTGACTAGACACTAGTGAAAAAACACGTGAAAATGGTGTATACTTATTCGAATATGTCTATTAATGGAAACGGCACTTTTGCATAATACAGATGTTTTTAATTTTGCAATGTATGGAAAAAGTTTTGCGCATTTGTTCAATGGAAACGCAGCTAGTAAAACGTTAGAGTTGGGTATGCTGTTTACATGGAGACAGTGTTTCCTCTTAAGCCCAGAGGCCTTTTTTCCCGAAAAAGCTATAATCTACATTTACTAAGGTTTCATATAGTATTTAGCCAGATATGTGGCCAAACTTGGTACCAAATTACCTGGTGGACCTTGGGGATTGCTGTGGAAGTGAAATAAAGATGATAAATTGTATTGGTTGACAATAAAATGAGGTTGAAACAGACAATTCTAACTTCCGCCTAAAAAAAAACCACATATTTTCCCTCAAAAAAGCTTTTTCCCTGTCTGTGGTGTAGCAAATAAGAACAAAAATTGACAGTTCCCGATATTTTGGACCAGTCCAGCAAAAAATGTGCCAAATAAACAAACCACTGCAGAGTTGTACATGGAATTGGAAAAAAAGTCCAGGCGGAATCCAACTGTGCCAAAATTGTGCCAAATGGCACAAAACATGTCTGTAGAGTCATCGAGATAAACTTTGGCACCCGGTTCCCTAGCAAGAAGCTCTACAACCTCCTCGCGTGTATAACGCTGTTTTGCCATCTTTTACTTTCGTCAAAATTCCGAGTACTGCCGTGCGTAAAGGGTTAGCGCACAGCCTCCTTCTGCCCCAACTATACGCATGTACACGCCTCCGCGGTACTTTGGCCAATCAGGGCATGTCATACCA